CATGGGGCAGAAACAGTCCCCAGGCATCTCTCAAAGACGTGGTATAGAGGCCAAACCAAAGCCGATGCTGCACTTCGTCAATGTGTGCCCACAGAGCTCGACCACATACAGGGCCTCCCTCGTAGACTTTCCTTTTTAGTCTGCTCCAGTATGCTTCGATGGCATTTGTGTGCCGTCCGGTGGTAGAGTTCTTGAAGTTCTTTGAGTTGTTAACAGAGAAAAGTAGATAATTTTCTGAGGGAAGTTGATTATAGGCCTCCACTCGTCCGTTACCACTATATTGCTTTTGGCCACCCATTTTGTAATAACGGAACGGAAAGCGGGTCAGCTTCGATCATTCACCTGTTCACATAAGGCTTTCCGTCGGCTAGTATCGTACATCTCGACCAGCCACCACCCATAAGACCCCTATTACCACCTGTCCCTTAAGACAGGCTGCATTTGTCAGGCTGATTTTTTTGGGTGCCATCACGCGATTGTTACCGTTTAGCAAAATTCTACCTCTATTTGTGTCTGTTTATTGGGTTTCAAAACAAGAAATCCACAATGTGTGCTGCAATGCTGTCTACTATTATTTCGTTGTGCTACAGCAGATGACTGAAGCTTCCTTTGATCTGTTTCAACATATCTTCATGGCTGCTTATCAAATGAGTTTTTCTAGTGACCGAAACGTTTCAGTCGCTGCATTTTTGGTTGGGATAAGCTCACATCCGCCAATTGTTTTGCGTCGCTAAGTTAAAGTCTTTTTCTTAATTGTGGACAATTCCGATGAAAAAAATATTATTTAATTACTTTTTAGTCTAGAATGTCAACGCCATGAGGTTTTTACGCCTGTTTATGCCGGGATTGTCATCAAACTGAAGAAACCCCGACCACCTTCGTTACGATGCAATATTGCTTGAAAATGGAGCCCATTTATGAAGCTCTCTTTTATTCCTGCAGTCGGGCTGTCCGCAATGGTAGATGAAGCCTGTACTGTTCGATCATCAGCCAACCTTTTAAATACAGATTTTCTGAAGGCGTATGTTTACTAATACCAAATCCTTTCTTATTTCAGTAGAGGTTGGACTGGCATGAACCCCAATTCGACTCCCAACATCTCTTTGCATTTCTCGAATACCCTTTAAAGACGCCTCGTGCGCACTTCGCCCCCTCCGGTCCCTCATTCTGCTCCATACTTCTTCATCTGTAGCATTCTTTCATTTAACACACAACAGATGTAACTAAGTGTCTGAAATATCTCATTTTACTATGATAAAGTATCATGAGTATCAGTGATAGGAAGCCCCTAAAAGTTAATTTGATGTGCATTTTGTGATGTTCCTCATCGCGAGATAAGGTTCATAATGACTGTTTTTCGAGAATTTGTTATCTAGCTCATTCTTCTTCTAAACTGCGAGTTAGTTTCCACATTTGCTCCTCTCCGACTCGTGTGCAGTTCGTTTAATTCCTGATTAAGTGTCAGCAGACTGTCCTGGGCTAGGCGACACTTCAACGTGTTCTCCGGATGCCTAAACTGTGAATTATATCTTTAAAAACTACTTAAAACGACGAGGCTATTTCCCGACGTGTAGTATCTAAACTTAAAGTTTCGGAACATTATTATCTTTTGGATCGCCGATGTAACTTTTTAGACGCTAAACAGTCAAGACAAACGGTTAAGCACATCAAGTAGATTAAGAAAACCGCACCATGGTTAGTGTGCAATCCAAATCTGTATCTTAACATTTAGCGCATTTATGATTGTCAATTTGTAACACCATTGTGAACAAGATGTATATTTTTAGAAATTGAAAACAGCAAAACCACACCAAAGCAAAACCATTTGGAAAGTGCCCATCCGCAACCAAACGATGTCCTTAAAGATTATTCTAAAACGAAAACATCAGTTTGTTAATAGTAATATCGTTGACCCCCATACAATGTTCAGGCTTAGTATCTTCAAGTATAAACTTTAGTCTATGTACTCGATATGCTAAGGACGTATTAATGCAAGTCACTTAACGTCAGGCAGTGATAAGTCTACTCCTACTAAGGGTGCTAAAGGTGAAGCTTGATAATCCCAATTAATATGCTGAAAAGCGATCTTGAAATTGCATAGACGCGTTTATGAGAAGAGTGGAAAATGACTCACAAACACATACGGTATAAAATGTCTCACGACAGACAATCAAAATATCCCCATTTTTTGCGTGGAGAACGATAAATTTGTATTTTTCCTATCAGAACGTCTAAATGTGATTAATAATACCCTGGAACCTGTGAGGATGCGCTTGTGAAGTCCGTAAATACCAACAAAGCACGTCGGGTCTCACAAAATTATAGGATGATATGTAGGTTATTTCAAGCCTCACCTGACATGCAACGTCTGAAGCAGGACTTCAAGCCGGCAAAGGCATTTCCATTTCTTGGATTAAAAAAGTATTTGCCATCCACATTGCCACTTCCTGGGATGCTGAATTGAGCAGTCTGTTCCTTCTTGTTATCCACTTTATTGAGATTTAGAATTCCGTAACAACGACGATAATGTCGGCAAGAATAATGAAATGAAAAATTGTTGAATGAGCTTTAGAAGGGTTCATTTCAACTTACAGTTAGTCCACCCGTCACATTGAAAAGCGCATTTATTGAAGACATCGAACGTCCCATTTATTCTCCTTAGCTCAGCGCAAGGGTCCATAGTGGGCGAACAAAGTTTAATGAAATCCGTGGAACTGTGCTGAGCTGGAAAAATAAATGTTAATTTTCATAAGCAGAAGCATGAACAGGCTGTACTACATATCTGAATTTACTTCTGAAGCGCTTCGTTTTACCATGAAACATAGATGGCTTAACAATCATGTAGTTGACCGAAGGCCGTAAAATGACTTACCCTTGCCCGAAAGATGGCACACCTTGACACACATGACGTGTCTCTCGAAGGTCTTGTCGTAGCCACTTCGTCCATAAACGTCGTATACCTTGCACGGCTTATCAGATTCCTCGCAAAAATATGCTTTTGATATCTCGTTTAGATTTTCTAAAGGAATTAGAAGAGCTTGATGGTTATCGTAGAGGATATTTTAGTACAAATCCATAAATTAATGGAACATCAACGGACACAAGAAACAAACTGCGGAAGCATGCATTTTAAACAGAAACAGACCTCGCTGCTTCGCACAGGCGTCACGGCATCCTGCGCCCTTTGTTTCATCCTCCTCTCTGTAGCTCACAGGCGTGCATTCTGAATGCTCGCCTTTGCAAAGTTTGTAGGTCGGTGATTCGATGGCGCGTACTGAAAGTATGATTAATTAAATAGCATTTTGAAAATGATTATTGAATAGGCTCCATTGCTTTCAACGTTTTTTTGCCTTTTTAGAAAGAACATAGCTATGCTTCTAAGCTGGATTGATTTACACAAGTTTTTCTTCCTAAGCAAACTAAAAACATTTATTTTTGTTAAAATTTAAGTAACGGAATGAAATTTACCGTAAAAAATAATTACGGAAATCAGAACGGCTTTGAGCAGAATCGACGGAGGAATGCTCATCGTTATATTTGTATGTGACTGCCACTTGTTACTTCTTGACACTTTTGTCTTATTTATACGTTTAGAAAAGAGATTTTATTGGCATTCAGTTGGATGTGCCTGTCACTAGAACAACAGTTGAATTTTCCACATTTGTGTGCGCAGGCACTTTCAAGGCGACCCACACAACGCAACTTCGCATAGACGATTGAAGAATATCAAACAGATAATCGACAGGGGCGAGCGAATAGGCAATGTCCTACCAACCGAGAGAATATTAGCGTAAGAAATGCGTACAAAATTCACATGGAATCAATGCATTACATAATGATTTCACAATGTCAGCAAAAAATGACGATATTCGTTGTCTTAATACTTAAAATGTTATTCGAGTTTTTGATAGATGTTGTAAAAACGTAAGGCTAAACTAAGACCAAGACTAACGCAAGCTATTGGTTCCAAGGAATCGGCAGATGGACGGTCCGTCTCTGCTTTTTACGAAAAACGATATGCGTCTGTTAGTGCAAAATGTCACGTACTTGACAAACATAACAAGTTCCGGTTGGGGCAGAGTATACAGTTGTGCCTTTATTATGCGCCGCTGTGTGGCTGCAGGTTGGGCTCGAGAGAGAGCCTATAAGGCACAACGGAACGAATGAGTCCCGTAGGAACGATCGGTGAGCGCCCCCCTACTAATGAGAAAAGTGTTTGCGTGATAACATTTCCATAGAATTCAGTTTATCGCGTTCATCATCCCCCGAAGAAGACGAAGAAGAAGATAGGGCGAATTCATGGACCGAGTTATATTTGTACTGACGTTTCGGAAACCCTCTCATTTCCATCATCAGAGTCATGTGTTGACTGTTCCCGCTGGTCTTGATTGCGTCAGCCTTGATACTTGCCTGGTATTATATCCGTGCGCGAGGCACGAACTAGGACCTGCTCGTTCGCCGTCGATTAGCGTTGACCCCTCCACGATTGACCGCCGGTGGGCTCCTGACACTAATGACCCCTTTGCGGCCGTCGTAATTGTTGGCGAGCCAGAATGCTTGTCGGCCTCTCCCTCGTCACTCAACGGACTGATCAGTTGTCGCTATTTATCAACCCGGAAAACGCCAGCGCTCTATGTCTTATGAACAACGCTATGGAGTTGCGGTTACCCATCCTAGGCAAAGAACCTGTCCATTATGGCCTTTCACGATGGGAATTGACCATTGTTGAACGTCACTGATTTCACATACGGGATGGCTTCATATCTGTCATGGGTTCCATTTGCGAAAAAAAGAAATTTTTATGGACTATAATGCATACATGAGAAAATTTCCAGTATCTCCTTGGTCATATCTCAGCCGCGGTTGCAGTTTAAGCTTTATGACGTCACTTTTTAGTTAATGTGTTTTAATTTCAGCAGATTTTATCGTAGAAAATAGCATCCAAGACCTCTTCACGTATTGGACGGCATGTAACTTAGGTCAAAAACATGATACCGAAAACTGGTGTAATTATTTTATGGCATCTGAAATTTTCCATTTTGCTTATTCGTCAAATCTCTTTAGGAAGTCATCATTTTCCCACGTAGATTAAGTTTTTTTTAAAAGATTTTCTCGTGCAACGAATTTGTAAATTTCAGTGTAAATCAATGTTGACTTACATTCGGTGAATTCTCTTTATCCGTCAATGTCCACAACTGTGTTTAGGCTTCCGTGCGTCTTTCATCTAATCGGAATACTCTAGTGTTTCATCTTCCATCTGGGATTTTTAAGGAGTGAGTCGAATAAATTACTCACATCTGTCAAAAACAAAACTTTACTGAAAGGACCCAGTGGTTTTCTGGTTTATCCTCGGTTAAATTACTTAAGAAATCTTGCTTTAACAGTCAGTGTATTGTATTCGATTTGATGGGTTCATGCGTTGCGATAGGCGCGGCAGGTAACTGAACAAAATGGGATTAACTTCACCGCTGCTAGTCGGGCCTCTTAGCTCAGGGCGTTATCTATGCTTAAGTCTTGTCCTTGTTATCGTGATTTCCAACACCATCCAGACTGCCGATTTTTTACGACTAGGTCAGATAGATCCCTCTTAATGCTTTATATATATATTATATATTGTATTATCGCATCCCGTGTGCTAATTGCTATTGCGTATATGCTGGCCATACAGGTCGATGGCTGGGCACCCGTATCAACGAACACAAACTAGCTATCCGTCGGCGAGACCCCCTGTCCCTCGTCTTTGCCCATGCACTCGAGTACGACCACCGATTCAATTGGGATGGCACTGAGGTCGTCGCCATGGCTAACACAAAGCGAGCGAGGGAATTTCTCGAGGCTTGGTACTCCCATGCGGGTAGTATCAACCGCCACGTTGACTTAGATGCCCATTACGAGGGTCTACGTTCACGAATGACTGCCCCCTGCCCTAATCACGCATCGACGACCGCGAATACAGCCGCCCGCATTCCAACTGATTCACCACCCACCCTCCCCCTCCAGTACGGTTCGCCGTAATTGTTCCGCCTCCTCTCCCTTTCCCGTCCCTCACTCAGTGACCTACCATGACCTCGGGAGCCCACCCCACCCCCGGTCACACGTCAGTGGTCTGTTCTGTCCTATGGCACTAACTGGTCTACTGTGACAACATAACTTTCTCCCTCGTTTTCATTACGTCTGACGACGGGTTGGTGTCACCAGCTCGAAAATTCACGAGTACAACTCGACTTTTCTGAAGAACCTCTTCTATTTTTCATACAGATATGTATGTATATATATATATATATATATATAGGCAGAATGATATTACCGACAAAGACAAGGGAGACTGGAATGGCCATTTCTGGCTTATTAGCCGTCGTCAGCCAGCCATACCCAAGCCCGAAGTGTGGAACACCCGAGCCTCGAACTCGCGACCTGTTGGTTTAGAAGTCAACGCCTCTACTCACCGGGCCACGAGCCCGTTGCCCTGTCGGTTTTCGATTGGGAATATACAGTGATAGGGGGCGCTCACCGATCGTTCATACGGAACTCACTCGTTCCGTTGTGCCTTATGGACTCTCTCTCGAGCCCAACCAGCAGCCGCGCAGCGGCGCATGATATATAGGCAGAATGATATTACCGACAAAAGAGAGAGTCCATAAGGCACAACGGAACGAGTGAGTTCCGTATGAACGATCGGTGAGCGCCCCCTATCACTATATATATATATATATATATACATCATACTTACCCAAATCTGTCAGAAATATATTTGTTATTTGCTTTGCCTGTGCAGGTGAGGTAAGAAAAGATATGAACAGTTTTGTTTTTCATTAAATAATAGCCATGTTAATGTTACAAATTTCGATTTGGTAATTAGTACGTATTTTACCCTAAAAACTCAACTAAGGCGTATATGTAATTTTTTATTTAAATGCACCCATAATTTCCTGGAGATTGTGAGTACTTCCAGGGCTCATCTTTAGGTAAACATAATAATCTTTGATACTGACTTAAAAGTGAACCTGCATGGTACTAAGAGGTTTAGCGCTATTTCGTATTTTCAGCGGGACCTATGAGATATTAGCAAGAAATGTATAAATACGTGTACATAACGGTAATGGTCATGGTATGAAGAGGGATGTAATTACTTTGACTTACAACAGAAGGATTGTCAGCAGTTTTCAGGAAGAGGGACGGCGCGGCAGATCTTCTTATACTCTTATTATGATCTTACCTTTGAACATTTAATAAAGAAACACCATCCAAAAGCGATTAATAAAAGAGTTGTGAAAATTTCCATAGCATTTTTCGGAAGATAAACTGGCCAGCAAACGCTGCTTTTGATAAATGCTCTTCAGGCTAGTAAAAGTATATGGGAATGGGTACAGTTAGACGTGGAAATGATTGAAAAATCGATGAAAGTTAGTTTTAACAAATACAGTTTAGGCAAGAGCTGATGGGCGCAGAAAGTTTTATGCGGTTTTTCAACCTTTGACGACGGTAATCGCGGAACATGAGCGATGTTCTTCTGGGCGCATAGGGCCGGACATCCTAACCTGATTGCGGTCGATTCCGCTTTTGCTAACAGGCGCTCTCTCAGTACCTTAGGGCAGCTCGAAGCGACCTTGTAATCCCATGAAAAGCATCAGCGGGGTCCACACGATGCCCTGAATCCACTGCATGCGCAAGAATGGCGCTGTCTATTCTCATAGTTTTGCCTTCTGCCAGTCATGCGGAGGGGGGCCTCCGTTTCCTTCTGGAAAGACGCCGACTCGCACAACCAATTCAACCTGCTCTACAGGAGCAAGTGAATGCGCAGATGCACATTGAGGTTGACTGAGGTAACAGCCTATCCGTGCAATCTCCTTGTATAATAGGGTTAGTGGAGAATGCTACGCTGTTGGGAAGGTTTTACGAGACAGCTTGGTCAAAGCGTCTTCTGGGGAGTTCACTTGCAGCGTCTCCTTGTAGAGTAGTTTTGAGGAACAAATTTGTCTAGCTCTTTTTGCCAAACAACTGAGTGGATTTCGTCTTCGTTGGAGGGGTACGAAATAAGCAAAGTCCGTGTATTTTTCAGACTAGGTTTTCTTCCGATAGAGACCCCTTCGGATGCAACCGTCAGGGCTCCTCTTTACATGGACATCTAAAAAAGGAAGCAAACCGGCCGATCCCATCTCCAACGTGAATTTGATCAACGAACGTGCGTTATTTACAGCGACTGTAATGTTTAAGCTTGTCGATCTGATAGCTTATTTGATATCTTTCAAGCTTGTCCATGGGAACGTTGGTTAAGAGCTGTCCAAGAGGTGGTCCAATAGCAACGTCCTCTATTTGTCTATAGAGTTGATTGCCAGAAAAGAATTGCATGTCCAGTGTACATTTTAGAAATAGTTCCTTGAGTATGTTGGTCGGCATTCATATTTCTTGCTGATTGGCAGATGGAAAAGCACAGATATAATCAACTCTCTCGGTGACATAGACGTTTGTAAAAGGCGATGCAACGTCGAGTGAGAACATCATCATGCCTTTAAGGTTAAGGTCTTTAATGTCGTCAATGAATTGAAAGGTATCTCGATAGCTGCTTGGTGCTAGCCGATGCTCTATGGGCTTGAGTTTCTCCGCTAACCATTTCGGTATCGCATGATACGGAGAGTTTCGCACGTCTAAAATCGGACGAAATGGCAGGCCTTCCTTATGGATCTTAGGTGAACCAAATAGTCCAGGGATATGTTTGCCGACTGGCCTGAGGTGTTCAAGGTCACGGTCACTTATGTACCCTCATGTGTGGGGCCTTCATAAAAAAGTCAGTCAATTTTAACTCTGCGTCATCCGTGAAATCCTTTTCTTTGTCTATCTTTCTGAACTTCCTCTAGTCAGATAGCATGAACTGTATCTTCGCTACGTAGTCCGATCTGTCCATTATAACGAGGCCTGTTCCTTTCTCAGCTCTAGTTACTTAGGCGTCTTTGTTATCCCGAGGTTCTTTTAACTTTTTTACGTGTGCTTTTTCCAGAAATCTCGACTTATCACAAAATAACTTTTTAATTTGCCAACACATATGTCTCAGAAATATGTTATCAGCGTTCATATTTTATCGTTGCTAATGTTTCATGTTTAGTAATTTTGCGAGTATTTCCCAAATGGTTATATGCAAGAAAAAGAATTCTAACGTACTAACTAGTTCGCAAGTTTTTCAGGGAATATTAGGAATCAAAAGTATTGGCAGAAGCAAGCTGCAAAAGACATTTTTCGGGAAGTCGATTGGGAAAAACGCACAGTACTCATCAAACTTTTATTGGCATCAAGTGCCTCAGCAGACTTTATCGTCATCGAAAGTTGGTCAGTGCTTACTAGAAAGTAACCTTGATGCACGAAAACGGACGTTGTTAATACCACATAGAGTAATCCTTTTCGACGTAATTAGTCACTTACCAGTCTCACAAATGTTGCTTTTGGAAGCTATTATTTTTATACCGTTTTTTCCGTATAGCCAAGGAAACTTCTCTGTGCTCTTATTGTCCACATATCTAGCAACACAAAGTGTTAAAGGTAGGGTCAACTTCTAATGGAACAATTTCGGTACCTTGAACCAGACACTGCATTTCATTGGTATCACACAATCCGGCGATATCGACGAGGTTTTATGGTCAATTCAAATGAATAGTCTACTAGCTCATCTGAACAACCGACAGAGACGCTGGGAACAGCGTTCGCTTCTGCATTCTTCGCGTGATTAATTACTCCGCCACTGACTTAGAACTCCCGTCGAAGGTATTGTATTTCAGTAGTTTTGTCTTCCGGCTCACTCAAGGGCTCTTTAACACGTTGATAGATTGTCCTCGCACATATGCATTCGTGACTTATTGGGTGGTTGCTGTCAAAGATCAGTATTTGCCCCGTATTTGTCGCTTCCCTGAACACTTTCAAATTCGACGTGGCGGGCATTCTCGCTATAGGTGACAATCACGTAAGCTGCAAATTACCTGAGTCATGGTTCACTGGCACCCAGTCCAATAACAAATGCAGCGACCTTCCCCTTTCATATTCCGTGCTGAGACCTCGCCTAGGCGGAGTAGTTAGCCACGCGGAAAGCGCACAGGCGAGCACTATTCCCAACGTCAGGGTCGGTGAGCCAGATGGTCAAGCAGTCGTCACATCAATATTCAACACACGTGATGCAATTTCGGCGATTAACGACTTGAATTTCGGCCATCGAACCATCATCACACAAAGGTCAACAATCCCTGATATAGAAGGGAGACGTGAATTTTCATAGATGTGCGGTAGTATGGTGGATGGCCCTTGTGTATGAAATAGGTGTACCCGCTATTGTCTCTGATGATGGGCTCGAGCAGGAATCCTAAACGTTAGGCGAATGAGGCTCTCCTTCCAGCAATCTTGTCTGCTTCTCCCCAACGGACAACTTTCCCAGGACCGATGGAATTCCGATGATGCTATTGGATCTTACCTTCATTTGCGCCCAACGGAACGATTCTTCTTTGAAGATACTAGCATAAAGTGTAGACAAATGAATATTTTAAGCCTTTTATGCTTCGGCTGTTTTATTTGCTTGGTTGTTTACGTGAACTACATTTATGTACTTTTAAAATTTTAGCTTAACCTTTTGACACAACTTTCCGCGTTTTCGGCATTTTGTTTTTTGCATGAGTTGTTATATTAAGCCAACTTGATCGTGGTTTAAATGTTTATTTTGCATTTACATTTAACTGAAGGTCGTTCATTAATAGTCTGTCGTTCTCCTAAACGGATTCGGACAGGTTTGCCATAGTTTATTTATCTTATGTCAATTAATGGATACATAATGAGTTTGGATACCTATTGTACTCAAATACAGCCAGTAGTCGTTTTATTGCTGAGAGGAAAGTTTACATAAGCAAGAGGTCCAACATCGATGTCCATTAATACAACATCGGTCCTGGCAGTTTACCAATGATCCTCACGAACTGCACAATATTGTCCGCATCCATTGCAAAATTGTGTTAAATCGACAGGTATCTTAATAAAGACATAGAAAAATAGGTGAAGATCCCGAGGCGGAACGCAAGCACCTCGTCGATTTAAATCATTAAGCGATAATGCAACGACTGATCAGGTTCGCAATTAATTCAGGAATCCGAAAATTATTTTAAAACCTAAAGATACCAGATTTTGAGTGTAAAATATAAAGGTGATGCGCTTACCTATCAATCGAGTAGAAGAAAGCAGAATTTTGTCCACGTATTCTGTTAGATATATTTAAAAAGAAGAGGAGGCGTTCACCGGCAGAGGTGTATTTGAGGTCTGACGTTTCGGGCAGTCGTTTCTTCTACCCATCATCAGAGACTGAGCAGTCGTGCACACAGATTTCCTTCTATGGCGCACTTTGTTCGATGCCTGGCCCACCAATGCCGCCTGTGTGGCTGCATCCGACCCGCATGTCACCGTGACCTGAATCCCGCCCATCTTCGTCGGCCGCGGTGATAATTGGCGGCCCCGATTGTCCCGCGCCGTGACTGTCAACCGTCAAGAATGTCCGTAAAACCAGATAAGCGGGAGGTAAATTGATGTGGCGGTTGACAGAACAGTCGGTAGACATCCAGGCTTCTTGCACCTGCCTTGCCGTATGATCATCACCTCGGTCCACGATTTCAACGGCGTCAAAGTTGAAGACGTGTCCCATTTGGACGGCATGGGTTGCTACCTCCGACCTTGGGTCCAACCTTCGCACGGTCAACTTATGCTCGTGCATGCGCGTTTGCAGCCGTAGGCCAGTTTCCCCAACGTAGTTACACATTCCGCAGCTGCACTGAAGTCGGTAGACAACAGCCGACATCTCCTGTTTAGGGATCGGGTCTTTTGGCCGCATCACTTGCCGGCGGATTGTTGAGTCGGGCCTGTGGGCAACGCCTATTACGAGCGGCGCGAGGGATCTGGCTACGGCTTCGGAGACCCCTTTCATGTATTGAATGCTCCGCCACGATTTTGGCTGAATAGGTTCTTCATTCCGCTTCCTTGGTTGCTTTCGACTCCGTTCAAGGAATGTTCGCGGATAGCCGTTAGCTCTGAAGAGTTCTTGGGGGAGCTTCATCTCGTCCAGTTTGGCGACTGGAGTGCTGCAATGAGTTTCCACCCGTCGCTATAGCGTGCGTATACAGCTTCCTTTGTGTTGCAGTGGGTGGTTGCTGTTGTAACTGAGCATTTGCAGCGTGCTCGTCGTTTTTCTTTAGACTGACGTCGCCAGTTTACCGTCTGGTTGGCGATAGATGAGAACATCCAAAAATGGAAGTTTGATCTCCACTTCTTCTTCCATCGTGAACTGTAGGTCGGGGATGGTTGAGTTCAATAGTTCTATGAGATCCTGATCTGTGGGCTGACCATTGCCCTCGTCGGAATTCTGACGAATCAGGTCACTGAGCGTCTCGACCGCAAGGGCCTGTGCTATGGACATGAAGAGTGAGGCGACGTCAAATGACACCATCCTCTCATTCGGATCAATCGTGACCGCCCTTATTTTGTCGCGGAATTGCTCTGCTGAGTGTACTGTTGTTTCTGAGCCCTCGGTTAGGAATCTTAGCTTCTGAAACAGCCAATTTGCGAGCCCGTACGTGGATGTGCCTCGGAGTGAGACGATTGGTCGGAGGGGAGCATCTGACTTGTGTACTTTTGGAAGACCGTAGAATCTCGCCATCGGTGTTTCTGTGGGCTTTGTCATATACCATTCTTTGACGGTGATGATTTTTTCCATCTTTAGTCAAGACAGAACCCTGTTATCCTTCGCCAGTAGGGACTTTAGACTGGCGGCGTCGCTGACCATGTAGGACTCCCGGTCGTTGAGGAGCATGAGCGCTTTGTTTCGGTAATCCGCCTTGTCAAGGATAACGGCTGATCGGCCTTTGTCAGCAGGTTAAATAACTATTTCGGTGTCCGCTTTCAACTCCCTTAGGGCCCTTTGTTCATCTCTTAGCAACGAATGAGTTTTTCGGTGTGACATGAGAAATGAAGAGACTCGATGTCGGAGGAGACCTTTTGCCTCATCTGTGGCGCTGGTTTGACGTAGCACAGATTCGAAAGAAGCAAAGAATTTGACCGGGTCGGCGTCAGTTGTGTTAAAACCAGATCCACGTTGCAGAACTTTTGTTTGGAGCACAGTAAGACTTTTCGACGAGAGGTTGTGTACTAACTTTTGTTAAGGTTCCCGGGATTGTGCGGTTTGCAGGGCCATGAACTTTACTGAAAACTAAACATCCCTGTTAGCAAGTTTCTTTCGTCCCAATGATAATAAGGTGTTCTCCAATGTAATATCGGTCGATTCACCACAACGGCGTGTAATAAGCCTCCGGAAATTGTCGGAATTGCGTGCGTACTTCCTTAGCCGTAGGTGACAATCTTACAACCCTCCCGTCAACACGGAACTGGCTAAACAAAAGATGTTCCGTCATAGCCAGCGAATGACATAGGACCTTCGTAATCATCGATCAGGGCAAAATTAGCTACTATGAAGAACTATTGAACTCAACCATCCCCGACCTACAGTTCACGATGGAAGAAGAAGTGGAGATCAAACTTCCATTTTTGGATGTTCTCATCTATCGCCAACCAGACGGTAAACTGGCGACGTCAGTCTAAAGAAAAACGACGAGCACGCTGCAAATGCTCAGTTACAACAGCAACCACCCACTGCAACACAAAGGAAGCTGTATACGCACGCTATAGCGACGGGTGGAAACTCATTGCAGCACTCCAGTCGCCAAACTGGACGAGATGAAGCTCCCCCAAGAACTCTTCAGAGCTAACGGCTATCCGCGAACATTCCTTGAACGGAGTCGAAAGCAACCAAGGAAGCGGAATGAAGAACCTATTCAGCCAAAATCGTGGCGGAGCATTCAATACATGAAAGGGGTCTCCGAAGCCGTAGCCAGATCCCTCGCGCCGCTCGTAATAGGCGTTGCCCACAGGCCCGACTCAACAATCCGCCGGCAAGTGATGCGGCCAAAAGACCCGATCCCTAAACAGGAGATGTCGGCTGTTGTCTACCGACTTCAGTGCAGCTGCGGAATGTGTAACTACGTTGGGGAAACTGGCCTACGGCTGCAAACGCGCATGCACGAGCATAAGTTGACCGTGCGAAGGTTGGACCCAAGGTCGGAGGTAGCAACCCATGCCGTCCAAATGGGACACGTCTTCAACTTTGACGCCGTTGAAATCGTGGACCGAGGTGATGATCATACGGCAAGGCAGGTGCAAGAAGCCTGGATGTCTACCGACTGTTCTGTCAACCGCCACATCAATTTACCTCCCGCTTATCTGGTTTTACGGACATTCTTGACGGTTGACAGTCACGGCGCGGGACAATCGGGGCCGCCAATTATCACCGCGGCCGACGAAGATGGGCGGGGTTCAGGTCACGGTGACATGCGGGTCGGATGCAGCCACACAGGCGGCATTGGTGGGCCAGGCATCGAACAAAGTGCGCCATAAAAGGAAATCTGTGTGCACGACTGCTCAGTCTCTGATGGTGGGTAGAAGAAACGACTACCCGAAACGTCAGACCTCAAATACACCTCTGCCGGTGAACGCCTCCTCTTATTTTGATATTTCACCCGGGAATCGCATTTTCACTATTAATTTTTTTTGAATTTACAAGAGCATGGTTAATCAATGGGAAAGATGCATGGTAAATATTTAGTCATTTTTTTGACGAATAGGTTTTCTACAGAAGATTAAGAAGCAATGCATTCAAAAGCACACATCCTGATAAGTCCGAAATATTTAAGGATTATGCCGCAAGATAATCATTATTACAACCCCGCCTAAGAAATCCTTCCTCGTCGAAAACGCATTTCAGAATTTCAGCCAACATTTCATGAGGTCGGTCACTGACTGTACACACTCTTACTATCTTTATTTTGCATCGTCCATATCCTCCGCCACAAACGACATGCGTAAAACGCCTGCTAATGGTGTCCTTTTTATCCCATCGAAAATCTGGAATACACTTAGGCGGAGGAATCAAGCTGCGAATAGACAAAGCGTACAGCCTGAACTGAACCAGTCAGCACGAGTATACTGCGCCTGCATAGGGACTTGCAGGCCGACCGATTATACTACTGTCCACAATGTTAATGTCAGAAATAGCTACTGGTTACCTGTAATAATGCTTCACTCCTCCGCTTACTTCTTTAATTCTCGCCAAGTCATGACTCCAGCCTTCGTCCAGACTGAATTGCGCAATCTCATAGAAAATTAAGCGTCGACTCCATTGACGAAATATAATTATTCAGTGAACAGTGTTCGGATTTGCAAGCAAGAGTTGGCTGCGCATGGTGGTTGCGGGTCAGTGAGCTTAACCGAGGTTCAAACCTACGATAAGACTCACTCTCGGGTCAGATCAATTACTAATGCCACCCGGGGTATGTACCAGCGCTATTCAGTGCGCTCTGGTCTTAGTAGAAGATAACAAAATAGTTCCAACGGTTTAATAGTACCAATTTGCGGACAGCCAGCTAGTGTGAACTATTCTTCTCAACCCTTGAAGACGAATTTCTGAAAACAGATAACTTGTAGATATTCATTATGACGACATAGCCAGCCTTTTTGTTTCTCTGAAGGTCATCCGCGGTCGTCCTAAGTACTCCTGGGATAAAGTCAATTTACTCTATCCCAAACACACTCATTCCCAGTCACTTGAATGACACCACCGACTCTCTCTCTCTCTCTGTGTCGTGAGTTGACTCTGTCAGGGCGGGGATTGCTCTCATTAGCGTCCGCTGCTACTTCTGGCGGCAGATCGGAATCCGTACACAACAATCCTAGTTTGTGCCACCTCCACCTGGACCTCGCAGTTGTGCCGGTTAATGATTAGACTAGGTCCAGCGTGTATCCCACTGAGTAAACGCAGGAGGGTCACCTGCGCGTAAATAAATTTTTAATGGGGGCAGAAGTGTGCTGCCTCCAGCGCCCTCTCTCCCTCATTCACCTGGCTCCGACATCAAGAAAGTGTCAGGACACCTAGAGGCGGGATCGGACGCAGTGAATGACGAAGGTGAAGAACCCACATATGCATGCTAGACACTTCCTGTCCCCCGCAGCATGCACCAAGCATTTTTTGGCCACGACTAAAAAGTTAATAGGATTATTGGGGCTGTAGTTGATCGGATGCTGTGGAGTATCCGCGTGATATTTGCAAGCTACAAACATGCATGATTAGATCCCTCAGAACAGTACTCATTTTGCCCGACCTGAGAGTCGGTATGCATATTTGACCTGAAATTCATCAGATTTCGGGGCAAAAACGAACAATACTCACATTCAATCAAACAGGCAATCATATGCCCTTCTATACTCCATTAGCGACAAAGATACTAGGAAATGGCCAAGGCACCATTTTTGGTAATGTAGTGTTGCTGCGTTACGCAGTTGCGAACAGTTTTTCTCCTAAGTGCATTGCTAATTGACATTTACTGTAGTTATTAATGTTGCCACTTTTATAACTCGGGAAAGTAATAAGGAAAAATATAATGCGTTATCCGACCCAAAATGTCATAATCTCGTTTCGGAGGTCCATATGAGCATTTAGGTAGAAATCCATTAGATACTTCAAGAAGCTAGGTAATATTTGTAGGCCAAGACTGGTTACGCTGTCCGAGTCCCAAGAGTAAGCTCAACATGCACACTAAAGGTAAAGTTAGCTGAAGGGTTTGTGTTAGGCTTAGTGTTACGCTTAGGGTTAGTGTAAGATTTGCAATTAACTCAAGGTTCAGGTTTACTTTTGAGGTTACTACCTGGATTTACATAAGTTTTTGGGTGTTCCTACCCCGCGTGTCCTGTCAGTTAGGTTTTGTGCTGGGATTGCAGGACTTTCTTCATTATTACGGAAGAATCGGTATACGTCAGGTTGTCCTCTTCCATATTAGCTTTGGCTCCTTTCCCACCAAAACGATTTCAGCTTCCCCTTTCGGTTTACTTTCCTTTTAATGCCGTCACCGTCGCTTGGGATCCGGAGGGCGTAACCGATAGTTGCCTATTCTCAGACTGTCAAATTACAGTTAGACATTTACAGACGTTGACGTTTTCATTCTTCTCTCCACACAAGTGCTAGAAACAAAAGATTGGTGATGACGTCCCTTGAGCAGCAGTACGGTGCGGATTTTGAGTTAAGGCGTGAGATATTTTAAGGCACATTTCGTAGTCGTCTTAGTGCGGAAAGTTACGATTGTGCTCCCTCTACGTACCCGTGACTATAACGTGGATCCTCTGGGATCAAATGTTATTCGATGACAATCTTCCGTTTATCGGCTACTTTAACTTCACACTGCTAGACAGAACTGCCATTATGGTTCTTCGAGATGTCAATAAATCCAGCTAATTTCACGAGGTTAACTGTTCTTTAAAAGCTTCTGCTGGGATTGTGCAGCCATATTGTAGACATCCTGCGGGCAGACGGTTGCAGAAGCGCATATCAGAACACGTGGAATCTATCAATATAGATTGTCAAGTAGTCCGTGACACCCGAGTGAACTTCATTTCGCAAAGATTGCAATTTAGTAGGGCATTGAGGCATCCCGCTTCAATTACTTCGAATTGGTGTCTGTAAAATGTTTGCACAGTTTTGTTCGGCACGACGCGCTGTTGGTTTACGGTGACAGCTCGACAGTCGCAGCCAACGATGTTTACCGTGTGTACCACAGCAAGATGAAGAATGTACGGTGACTAATGCGTGCTTTTTATAATAATAATGGTGGTTTTGCGCAACATCTGCCACACTCTCTATTCCCCCACCCCACGTCAAGGCATAGACAAGAAGACTGGAATCGGAAGAGGGCGAAGGTGGCTAGCACGGTCAGACCCTCACGTAGGCGCATCACTACACCCCCTGGTCCACAACAACACCCAACCAGGATTTCAAATAAGAAAAACAGCACCACAAAGGGTCAAAAATACGACGAATATGACTGGGCAGTAATGCTCCCGATATCTATACATGGCGGGAGCGCAAACGCATCTACCAGCAGAAAGCCAGGTGCCAGGTGCGAGGTGTCAGTGCACACCAGGTTGCAAGAGCCACGGTTTGCTGAACAGAGGTGTAACAGGCGTTCACAACCCGTAAGACCCAGAAGAGCGAACCACAGCCCTTCACTGAGCCTGGACCACCTTCCTTCACAGACTGAGTAACCAGTCAGGCGTAGACTGAGAGGTATTACTCGTATGTACACACACTCCACACATATGTTGGAATGCCAGAGGTCACATTAAGAAGAAGCGGTGGCGGCCTGGCTCTCAGCTCACCAGTCCGCGACTCCAAACAAGCACACACAGCTAGGCTGACTGTGGGGATTGAGTCAAGGCGTCAGTCGGCAGCCTTCTAAGCCACGGCTCTTGGCTCTCCGTGATAGTTTCCGCTCGGATCAGAGCAGCAGTGTAGCCTCCTGAAGCACTTGAGTAGGCGGTGGCATATGAGTCCTTGCGCTGCGTGGTGTTGGGTGATGTGGTTGTGTGGTGCAGGTGCAGATGACGGAAGGTGTGATGTAGTTGGAGGTTGTCTATCGCAGGTTTTCGTGAATGTGGCGGATGAATTTTCGAGGGCAGTGCGGGCAGTTGTGACAAATGCGTCTGGTGTATGTTGGGGTGCTCTAGGCACTGGCTCGCCAGCCTCTTTGCGATGGATTCGAAAATGGCCGATTTTACCAATGGGTGAGACAAATGTGGGGGACAGTGCGGCCAAGATAGATCGGCAGTGTCAGAGTCGGTTTCCCTGATGGTGGCGATGGTATAAATGCCGGTGATGGGCGCCCTAGGCCGCGGGACGTGGATTGAACTAGGCATGGTGGATGTGCAAGATGTATCAGGTGTGTCTAGACTGCGTGAGTTCCGCTGTCGTGGATACACGTCACCTAGTAGGCCCATGCGATGAGTGAATTTGGGGGGATGACTGCGTGGACAGTCGAGGCGGATGCGACGAGTGCAGGTTGGTGCTGCAGGCACTGACTCGCCAGTTTCTGTGCAATGGATTCGCAAGTGACTGACCAGGCCGATGTGTGGGATGTATGTGCGACCGCAATGAGGACAGGCATGGGCCGATTCCACATCACTAAAGGTGGAGGTGTTAGTGGAAATGGTAATAGATGACGGGTCGTTGGAGATCGTCTCGTTGGTGGGGAAGTGCGTGGCGTCGTTGTGGTGGTGGAGCTGATCGCTGTGGTCAACTCAGTCGTTGGGGCAGGGCAGATGATGACGGTGGTTGATGGTGGCGGGCAGGGGCAGTCTGATCGGCGGTGACGGGAGTGATCGTCGCGGGGTTTGCGACAGGGGCAAGAGTGGGGGGGAAGCAAACGCTGTCTGGTTATTGGCACATTGAATCGAAAGGTGCTCCACGAGACCGATTCGCGCGCGCAATGTGCGCAGATCTTGGAAGAGGTTAAGAGTAGGCATTGAGAAGGTGAGACGCTTGTGACTTGTAAGCCTCCCTTTTGGATTTTTCGGCTGCCATCCAATTTACTTCACAAATGGACGTGCCAGTCTTCACTTATCTCCGCCGAGTTATTCCGTTCTTGGCGAGGTTCTCCCAGGTCTCCGGGTTGATTTATAGCCGGTTCAGAGAGTCCTTCAATGTCCTTATAGCGCCGACTTCCCCCTTATTGTCGACGAGTACCTGTGGCGACATCATTTAAAAAGGTTGCTACGGTAGATGTGCGTCTTCCCTGATTGAAAGGTGACCGCTCTAACGCAGCTGCTGTTGCCTCAACATGGAGTAGATACTAAGGATTCGGGTCCGTTTTAATACATGTGTATCGGGTATCTTATCTTGCCATTTCGGCTTTATAGTTTTGCGAAGGCAGCTGCGATGAAGGTGGTTGGGTTTTCTGACTTGGTTGGGGTAGGCGGTCCGAATCTTTGCTTTGTAGGAAGTGCCATCAAGGCGACATCCCGGCTGATCTCCAGTTTATTATTTAGTTGGGGATGATGACGAATCCACAAGGAGTTCTTTAGCCGGCCAACTTTGAAGATCCGGTGGGCCACTTCTTCGTCAATTCTCGTGCTGCAGGGAAGTGTGCTTCCGTAATAAGCAAAACTGTTTACGTTTTGAGGTTGTTTTTCGTCGACAGTGATGCAAAGAGTAGTGCAGTGTTGCATGCTGAGTGACGCTTGATGAATGACCACTGTTTTTTCCGTGTTGATAACCAGGTCGAGGTTGGCGGACCCCGCGCAGGAGACTTGTTGCACGGCACAAATGCCTTCTGGAAGGAAAGCGGGAGGTACAGGTCGACGTTGATTTTCACTTGGATAGCTGGCCGATGGCGTCGTCGGAGATTGTGGAGGGGCGACCGAGAAGGTTTCTGAAGTGTTCTCCCCAGGGCTTCAGAATATGTGATTCTCAATCAAAAGCGTTAATCTATCGGAGCTGAGAACCGGTGCAGTTCCTTTGTTCGGAAGGCCGTAGATCGCCTTGATTGCGGCGAAGAAATTTTTCGATTCTTTGTGATCGGCATACCCCTGAAACTCCTTGGCTCCGCGAGCCATTTTTCAAAACCACTGCTGCGCTATGCGGTGACATAGGTTGAATACTGCTTTGTTCGCATCGGTTGGGCGGTTGAGGTAGGCTCTGTGCATCCTGTTCTCTTCGACCAGCGGGTTACTGATGGCGACGTCATCTTCGTCAAACAAATCTTGATGCTGGCGACGGACGCGGCCGAGGACAGCCAGGGTGGTCGAGTGAACGGCGTCCCGTAGTCGGCATCATTGAGTCTCCAGGAGCGTTTTCTCTGCAGCTTACAGTTCTTCCAGCCGCTGAGTCAGTTGATTGCTGAAATGTAAGCGGTGAACAGGTAAAGGCAACAAAGCAGTATTCAGCTGTCCTGGAGGTCGCTTGCTTTGTGGCCTCTTGCGGGTTCGTAGACGGAGCCTCACCTTAGAGATAACGAGACGATGATCCGTTCAGACATCGGTCTCGCAGATCGCCTTGGTCACCGTCATGTCCTGCCGATCTCGACGTCAGATGAGAGCACAGTGCAACAACTGACAGCGCCGCGGTCAGGGCTGCATCCAGGTCGACTTCTTCCGCATCGGCAGGCGGAAAAGTTGTTGGTCAGTAGGAGACGGTGTTCAGGTTAGGTTTGCAGGAGTATGAAACGATTTTCGTGGGGACGCAGCACACCGCGGCAGCGCAGTCTGTCCCGACGTGGGCATTAACGTCATCCAGGACAATCAACTTATACGCCTTCGACACAGACGCCAGGAAAGCATGCTGGTTTTTGTAGGATCTGGTCTTCGCGTCATCAGAGCTATTTATTGTTGGGGCATAGACGCCGATAGTGGTGTCGAGGTTGAATCCCCGAAATGGCAGTCGCTGACTCCTCATCTTTTCTGAGTGATGTCCATAGTAGCGGCTCCTTGATTGCTCTCATACTCCCTTCGGTTTGCCGTTCGTACTAGCCTATGGTTATGCAACCAGCTTAAAAGGCCGGCCCACAACGCACAACAGATTTTGAACCCGTACGATACCTGGTGTGTAGCTAACATCTCACGGGCCGGTCGGAGAGGCGACCACTATGTCAAGTCGAACTCCTGGCCTTTCTCCAGCGTGTGAGTGTAGACTTGAGATAGTGGTCGCCTCTACGAACGGCCGTTTAGGCCCAAGTATTCGTAGGCTGAGACGTAGTCCTGTTTGGCCTGTGCAGTGGCAAGGGCAATTATGGTAAGGGATTTGATAGACTACATCAGACTGCTCACCTGCGTCCAGCCGATCCTTCATTTTCATGATCCTGCCACGCAAGGTAGCCACCCGATGATGAGCGGTGCCCACGCCTAACTCTGGCGCAATGCGTTCTGTGGCCTCGGACACATACTTAATGTACAATTGGGAGTGTCAACCTATTGGTGTCTCTCTTCCGTTTGTCCGGCGTGGGTGTGCGCGTATGCAGCGACTGATAAAGCTATTTTGGGTAGCCGTTCTTTGTTAATTGGTCCCGGAGATGCCGTAGTTCTTGCATCCTTCCTTGGGGCTCGCTACAGTGCGTTTATACCCTGTCGAAAAGCGCCCACACACAGTCCCGTTTGTGCACCAATGGGTGGAAGGATGCAAGAACTACGGCAACTCAGGGACCAGTTAACAATAAACGGCCAACCAAATAATTTCATCCGCCGCTGCATACGCACGCACCCACGCCGGACAAACGGAAGAGAGACACCAATAGGTTGACACTCCCAATTGTACATTAAGTACGTGTCCGAGGCCACAGAACGCATTGCGCCAGAGTTGGGCGTGGGCACCGCTCATCATCGGGTGGCTACCTTGCGTGGCAGGATCATGAAAATGAAGGATCGGCTGGACGCAGGTGAGCAGTCTGATGTAGTCTATCAAATCCCTTACCATGATTGCCCTTGCCACTACACAGGCCAGACAGGACTACGTCTCAGCTTACGAATACTTGAGCCCAAACGGCCGTTCGTAGAGGCGACCACTATCTCAAGTCTACACTCACACGCTGGAGAAAGGCCATGAGTTCGACTCCATCAACATGCGGATATTGGCGTCAGTCGGAAACAAGACTGGGCGAGAACTGTTGGAGGCGTGGGTTTCGGACACCAACTCTATCAATAGACACATTTATTTGCGAGCGTGTTTTCATGCGCTCCGCCCACGCAGCCAGGTGCCGCAGCTCACATCGCCGCTAAGTACAATCGCCGTCACCACACTGGGGAACCATTGTGGGCCAGGCAGCACAAATCATGCCCAGCCATGTGTGCATTCCCGCCCCCACACGGCACAACGATATTAATGTTCACACGTTGCTGCACTCTAGCAGTCTTTGATGATGAACTCCAGTTGGAGTTCGGAAGCTAAGGCCAATAAATGTGCGTCCCAGTGATCGTGCTTTTGTTTCCTTCAGAGTATTATCTGACGACTATAAGCTGACGTATGTGCCTTCCCCTATGCAAAGGCGTCGGCCGGGCACCGACGACTGAGTACATGTCAACTAGTTTGACATGCATTCTCAGCAACGTTATGACGAGCGAATTAATTTTATTCCCAAAATTTCATAACTTACTACCCAACTGCCAAAACAAGTTCCGAAATCGAGGATCCTGCACGAAAACATCCACAATGTCTCCAGAGCTATACCCGAGCTCTTGACAGCATGCACACAGCATGACGTTCACTGACTATAAGAAGACTTTCGACAGCGTGCAACACCAGAGACTTATATAATTTCGGAAGAATAGGGATAAGAGGTTGCTTCCTTTAATGAACTGAAAACTTCCTTGTGAGCCGACAGCAGGTTGTGTAAATCGGTTACGATAATAAATAGATGTTTTGGCAGATTTCGAATAAATCATATTAAGTCAAATGTGAAAAACCTGGCGCCTCGGTAGGATTCAAACTCACGAAAACACGGGGAGGCTTTAATACATCCAACGATCTACGAGAACCCACCGAAATGTATTTAAACTCACGTTTTCCGGGGGGGGGCTCTTAGCTCAGACGGCTAAAGCGTTGGGCGTACTAAAACTTTACCCTTGCTGTCGTGGTTTCGAATGCCACCGAGGCGCCAAGTTTTTCGCAGTTGGGTCAATATGACCGGTTACGCTAAATCTAATTTTCTTGTAGTAGATAGCATTGTTTCCCAGGCTTAAGTACTGGGGCTGAAGTTTCTCCCTTATTTACATGGACGATTACGCAGGAAATTCGTACTGCGTAACCGATAATGTTTTCTGACCTTTCTCAATTTTGAGTGCAATCTGGAGACCGTTCAGCAAAGGCATATTGCAAATAAATCTTACTGGGTTGTAAAAGGGGTCAGACCGTTGTCTCATACAGATCAACCTCGACAAAAGCCCTATAATTTGCCTAGGTAACCCAGCCAAATCCTCCAGCACAAGAAATTGATTTTCCTTTTCGTTCCAGCTCAAAGGACGTGAAAGTCCGAAAGGATTTCAGTGTGCCAACGACGAACTCCTAAAAACGATCCCCCTACTGCTCGAGATCTGGAAAGAAGCAAGGTCTGTACTACTTTCATTGAAACGAACATTTATGGATTTCGATAAAGATATCTTCGGCAAAATCTTCAAGATACAGATATGATCACAAATTAGGATCAAATTAGTCCTAAAACAGTCCACATGAGGCAACCACATAGTTAAGGGATAAAACTCCCTTCCCCGTGCAACATAGCTGGAACGGCACTGTTTGAGTTATGGCATTTGCGCGAGTATTTTTTTTGCATGCATTATGCGTTGTGGAGAGACTGGTTTGCAGCCTGAATTTGGAGGGCTCTCTTGAATGCAGTCTCACGATCAGCCTTCGGGGTCACCTATTAAAACTGGACGTTCAGTAGGCAAGACTGACTGTAAGGAATTTCTCCTTCTCCGTCAGAGTTGTTTGATCACTGAATGCTCTTGCCGCAGATGTTCCGATGCTACCATAGACGGTAACCTTTAAAAGGAACACGGACAGATTTATGCTCCAAAATGCGCAAGGTCAATGAGAGATCAAGCTTAATCCTCGAAACTCGCACCCAGCTTTCCACACTACTATGGGTTAATTTTAACTTCTTCAGATCACTTGGCTTCTCTTTACATTGATTTCAATTTTACGACGTGAATAGAGTACTCAATGTCTTACGCCCATTCTCCTAAGTAAACTAAAGTGGACTGAAACTAATCAGATAGCGTAATGCTCTGCAGAGATGTACAGTGTCCCCGCCTCTTTTTTTCTCGACCTTGACCTGGAAATCACTCTTTCAATCCTATTAAGATTAGGCTATTTGCTGTTTTATGCGCCTGCAAGACCCCGAATTGATGTCTGGCACCGAGAACACAGGGGGCTTTGTGCAAAGTTACAAGAATTAAAAATATTCCTGTGCTTTATCCGTAAGCTTAATAATACAACCGGCCACATCTTCAACCAGGCTACGTAAAGAGCGACTAGCCAGCTCCTTGGACCTTATACTGACAAAAAAGCCTGGCAGTGTAGATGTCGTAAACTGGCTACACCCTCTCGGAAAAAGCGACCATGTAGTCCTACAGTGGGAGTTTTCTCTCTTCTCTATAACTGGTCGTAGAATCACGGTCAGGCGTGACATATGGCGGGGAGATTTCAATCATATGCATATCAATATGCGACGAATAGACTGGGAAGCAATATTCACGGGGTGTGTTTCCGATGAATAGTTAGGATTTAGGGCCGTTTTGCAAACACCTATCACCAGATACCGCCCCTGTGCGGGAAAGGAAATCACCAACAGGGCCCGATCGTTAAAGTGCTTACGAAAGGGAAAAGTAAACCGTGAGCAAAAGATGTGGAATGCTCATCTCAGGGATAAGACTACCGACTCATCGAATAGGTAAAAGATTCAGCGAAAAAGAGTAAGGTACCTCGTGTGCAAAGCCCGCCAAGACGTCGAGAGTAACCTGCTAAACTATGCAGGAAAATAATCAAAGCTTGTCTACAACTACATAAGACAAATCACTCGCAATAGGCATCTCATTCCTACATTAAAAACATATGACGGCGTTGAAACTCGCATGGACGCCGAAAAGGCTGAACATCTATCCAAGTTCTTTCAGTCGATTTTTATGAGGGAAGTCGATTTACCCACTAATAAGTATAATTTGGATAAGGTCCCAACAAGTGACGGAGTGATTTTCACGAAAAATATTGTTCAACAAGAACGGCTGAAGTCGGAAGAAGCGGCATCACCAGGTCCTGATGACAAATCAGCAAAGTTGTTGGAGCAGTTAGCCGCAGAACTGGCGGAACCTCTGTTGTATCTTCCAAGACTTCATCGATGTCAGCAAACTGCCTCCTGAGTGGAAAACTATGTGGATATCGTTTATTTCTAAAGGTGACATTCGCGTTTCTGCAAACAACTACCGACCAGTGAGTCACACTTCGATAAGCTGCACAGTTATGGAGCGAATTATCAAACGAAAGCTGATGCATTTTTAGAGCAACATCATCTTCTGTCTAATGGACAGCATGGATTCTGCAGAGGAAGGTCCTGCTAGATCAATTTACTTTATTATATGGAACGGCGGACCAGAGCGATTGGAGAAACAAAAGTGGTGCATGTGGCCTACATGGACTTCAAGAAGGCCTTAGGTCTGCACATCAACGTCTCCTAACATGCTCAGCCGCACAGGGATAAGAGGCAAACTTTTGAAGTTAATCAAAAACTTCTTGATTGGTCGATCGCAGACTGTCCGTCTTGATGACCAACAATTGGCGGGGCTGAAGATTGTATGCGCCGTACCTCAGGGCTGCGTTCTTGGTCCTATCCTCTTCCTCATGCATATTTATAACAGTATCCGAGAGTTAGACTGCGACTTTACCATGTTTGCTGACGACATTAAGCTTTGCGATGTCGGTTAGATGGTAGTTGGTAGCCGTCCCGGTACCGAAAACTCCCAGCTACCTGACTTACGGGACCGGTGGTATTAGGGGCTATATGGGTGGGGCAAATGAGTGGAGGCGTAAATGGCGCTTGTAGGGAATGCCTGGAATTGACGGTCCTGTTAAAGTGGAAACCTAATTTAAATATAGTGAAAAATGCGAGGAAGGTGAACACCCCGAGTCTGACTGACGTATGAGACGCCTTGCTGTTGTAGTCTGAACTCAAGAGGTAGTAAGTGCGCGATGTGGTAGGTGAAGTGCTACCAGTTCAAACCCAGCAATGTCGAAGCGCCCGGGGGGGTGCCGTAGTGCCTTAAACTGGAAGTGCGGGATGGGATCGCTAACTGGCCATGGCGGTGTTTACAAGGCGTCATAGTTTTCAGCCAAACCCTTGCGACCAAATACAGCTGGGGTGTTCGTAAAGGCGGGGGGTGGAGAGCAACACTCTGTCAATACGACTGATGCAGTGGATGGAGTATCGGTAGACACCCTAACTGCGCATCGGTTGTCCTTTCGTACACGATCGCACCGGACTCTACTGGAGGTCTGGAGTAAAAAGACCCAAGGATGCAGGCAAACCGACGAAACGGAGACCCGCGCCAATCCACCTAGGATAGTACCTATGCAATTAATCTGATGCAGGTAGTACTGTGCGCGCATGCAACTAGAAGCATAATGGGAAGCATGATGAATCATAATCCGTTTAGGATAAATTTTTCGCCTATTACTAAAGATTTCCGTGTGGGGGTGCAATACAATAAGTCTATATAGACAGTCTTGCAGCGCCTCGTTCTCAGGGCGATTAAAGTGAAGAAGAAAGTCATCCTGACAGGGTCTCTGTAAGTGCACCCCCCAGACATAATGAGAACGTTATCACAGATACCGAAATCGAGCCAGTAGGTGCAATTGTAGAATCAGTGGGCAGGGCTACCAACTACCATCCTGCCGCAAAGTCATCTGGAACGAGGAAGATGGAGCAAATCTATAGGCGAAACTAAACTTCCTCCCGTTCAGTGTTGCCACATGCAGCATTTTGCAAATTGACAAAACCAGCTCTGTTCACCGCAGGGTATACTATCCAAATAACTGACCGCTACCAGTAGAAGAGGTTCAGAAGGATCTAGGTTTGTGGATAACATTCTGAATAAAGCCATCATTTCACTGCTTGAAAACAACCGAATTCGCAGTATCCAGCTTATATTTTATCAATCGGGCATTTGCAAATTTGGACAGAGAATGCTTTAGCAGTTAGAATTTGCCAGTCAGGCCTGGAGACCCTGGTCTGTTAAAGATCGTGCTACCCTCCAAAAAGTTCTACAGCGGACAACCCAGTTTGTCTTAGTTCAGAGAAACCTATCTTACGAAACTCGAATGTCTAGTCTTGACCTCTTCCCCCTGAACCACAGTCAATTTCGTGGCGACTTAATTCAAACGTTTCGCATACTGCGGGGTCGAGATTGTTGTCTCGCGTTCATCCACCTTTCCGGCCGGCCATCATTACTGGCTTGATAGGACATGCTCTCAAATTAAGAGAAAATGGGGCGGCTGGGCATGAAACGCCCTGCCTATGGACGTCATCATGTCTACATCCGTGGACTCATTTAAGAGGAAGCTTGACCAGTACAGGGATATGCACCAGCACGTCATCAGAAAGTAACAAATTTTTCCCCTTGTACAGCCCGAACGTTATACAGTTAGTGACCTAGCTGATGAAACGTGTCGAAATTTACGAATGATTGCCAGTCAGTCGCAAACTGACATCATTTTATGAGTCTGATTTCTATGTTAATTAACTACAAGTTTGAAAGAATTAAAACATAAAAGAAATTTTAAACGCAGTGCTCCGTTGGTAAGAAATTCCGATTTTTTAGAAAAGCGAAATATCTCGAAAACGTCAGAAAGGACTCTTATTAAGTAAAGTTTGTTTTTAGATGTATAGAATATATTCGCATACCAAACACGTAGTAAATATGAAAGCAGACATAAAATAACAAGGTTTTAGTGAAGTTAACATCTAAATATAATCTAATAAGTAGTGTGACTTCATATATGACGGCTTGTCAACTGCCTACATTCTGGGTGTAGATTCTAAAGCAGTTTTCCAGTGTTCCATAAGTTCCTCTACTTTTTAGAGTTAAGTCAGAGGAGGTTTCAACAAGAGAAGCTGGCTTTTGCTTGATTTCGCCGATGGGGACGTCATAGGATCAAAAGTTTTCATAAGATGACATGCCATGAGGCCGGTCGGTGCGTAATAAATTTAAATAGGCGTGATCGTTAACATACGATTTTGTGTTTATAGAGAGAACTTTTCTTCCGAATTAGTGAGTGTTCATGCGCTCATTTTCACGAAGATGATCTTTCGGGTCACATTTCAAGACTAATTCAAACATCAAACTTCATTTTCGAGAAAAATGTCTGTCCACAACGAGAGTCAGCAACGAATATGTCTTCGATCAGTAGGAAAACGTTCCTTAATAAATTAACTCTCTAGCAAGTGCTTTATTACTGTACACCGTCGATGGATCTCTGTGTACTTTGCATTTTTGCAAGGCGAGGCCAAGTAAAAATTTCACACTTTTGACGGTTCATTCACGTTCCTAAGCAATACTAATATTTTTCTACCGTAAAGGCAAGAACATGCCTTTCTCTATACATTGAGGCCATTTCCACTGTATTTGCTCGCTTTTAGGCTCCGTTCTTCAATTATGAATGCACGGCAGGACATGTATTTGCATAGGACATTGCACGAATATATTTAAACGTATATTTTCGCTAAAAATTTACTGATATTTTACTTCATATAATTGGGTAAACATAAGTTCTGCACAAGAAAAGGACTTGGATGAGGGAACAAAATGCGCCACGTTAAAGACGTCCAGAAATACTCTAACCAGTTTTGTTATCAGATTTCATGAGATAAGTCACGTACTGTACGTTACAAAGCATCGTACTCGCTATATTCTAGTTACATTATCCTATAATCATTTCGTAAATTTTCTCCGTCAGGCGTGCACATACGAACCAATGCATACCGACTGAGGCATAAACGTTTGCTCCCACGTTACTTGGACCATTTCAGTACCGCGTAATGATTTTTCACAATTCTGACAACAACGCCAGAATAAAGCCTACCGCATGGCGGCCATGGCTAGTTAAGGACCAAGCATACATAGAACGGGTACAACGTCGAGCAACAAAGCTATTAAACGGTCTATAACGCCAAACCTACGCAGACAGACTGAATTACCTGAATTTATTCCCTCTGTCTTACAGGCAGCAAAGAGGTGATCTTATCCTCGTCTACAAGATAATACATGGCCTTGAGCATGGACTTAATTTTGAGGACATGTTTCAGTGGCACCTTTCACCCAATCTTCGTGGTCACTCGATGAAGCTACGGACAACAATGTCCAGGCTGAATCTTCGTTCTGAATTTTTCACGCAGAGGGTAGTGGAGAAATGGAAAGATCTCCCTCAGTCAGTCGTGGAGGCTACGTCCCTGCAACTCTTCAAGAAACGCCTGGATAATTATTTGTGTCCCCTGTTTTCCCTCGACAGTCTGAATCTGAACTAAGACCCCACGTCCCCACAAATATTTTCTCTACAAGTACTGTTTTAATAATGAATATTATTTTGTGCGTGTACAGTTATTTCTAACTAGCTGACATGTAATCAACAGGGTTTTGAAAGGCTTTGCATATTATCCTTACCAAATAAACTGCCACAGAATACATACACTGACACATTCATGCAACTCCGCGTAATTTATTTTCTAGCCCTCTTCCGCACTTGCTTTACGTATTGTTTTTTTTCTGTGAGATCAGTGTAGCTGATAGGGAGCTCAAAGTCATTTACCTACTTTCCCTTAATAAAATGAACTAAACTATGTGAGGGGCCAACATTAACTTAAGTGGTGCAGAACTGAAATCTCAAAATGAGAGGGATTTACAGTGCGGATAAACTGCTTGAAGGCAAGAGAAATAATTTTAATAACAGGTATCCCCAGATACCCTGATGGAACGGACTATTCAACACTTCAAAGAGTAATTGCGAAGAATCGAACAAGATACGGAAGATAAGGAAAAATGGAAAGGAGAAAAGGTCGGAAATAATTCTCCATGCTCGACCATGCAGATGAAAAGGAAATATTTGGTGGTTAACGGATACAACAAAACCAGAGGAAGAGTAATATGCGATTCTTATTCGTAAATCCCTAATGGAAAATATGTATATAGCAATAGAAATTTGATTGTAAAAACGGATTGAAGTCAAATTACGTTAAATACGTGTGCATTCTCAATTGGCGGATACACTCCGCCATGAAAGATGCTGATGGAAATGCAATGACCGACTGGCAGTTAAGTCGAGCGTTTTCGGGATGTTTTCTATAGACGACAAAAATTTAGAAAAACAAAGCTGTTTGCGATGTAACTTAGACATTGGAATCAAAACAACTTGGTGCTTTGCCGTGGGAAATCAACGCGTACACTCGCGCTCACTCGCGTCTACCAAGGCCATGCAGAACTGAGACTTCCGCGACCTAATTTAAAGACATTTGGGCATTGTCGGTCAAAATAAATGAGACTGAAATAGTAGGTCGCCTACGTGGCGTTCTCCACGCTACCAATCTGAGATATGGCATGAAGGTCTCGGTTTTCTAATCACATCCTAACAATTGCCATCTCCAATAGCTTTGTGAATCAGGCCTATGTAAAATTTCTGATTATATAGCACGCATGATTTAACATGGAAGTTTTATTTACAATGACCTAGTGACAGTGACTGAATGGCGCTTATGCGGTCAAGTGCGTAGGCGCTTCTGAAATCTCAGGATCCTTAACAAGTCAAAATTGCCTTACATCCCAAGGGCTCTGGAGGTCATCGTAGTATACTGACGTCATCGGATGCTCAGAAATTTTTATCAAAGCAAATAATTTTCATTCGGCATTTCACCCAAAATCACTATTAGAGGCACATTGAATATCATATGTTTAAGGTAATGGAGAGGTCGGCAAAAATATGCTAACGAATCTTTTAACAAATTAGAAGTATCAGCGACGGTATGAATTTTCGAATAAGCATAAATGAATTGGCCGTCGAAGGCAAAAAATCATAGATACCAGCAGATCATGGAGAATTAATTTAAGCACACGAAATTATTTGCGGAAATATATTCGTAAATGGACTTGTAGGAAATGAAAGTACATAAAAAGATGGGTTTGGACAGTACTTTAAAAGAGTCCAATAAGGCTGATGGGTAACCATCGGGAGATGACACCCAAAAAAAATCCGCCTAACCAAAAGAGTCCCTCTTACGGGGCAGGTGGTAATAGGGGTTTTATGGCTGGTGGCTGGTCGGGATGTACGATACTCGCTGACAGAAAGCCTTATTTGAACAGGTGAATGATCAACGTTGGCCCGCTCTCTGTTCCGTTATTACAAAATGGGTCGCCAAAGGTAGTATTGTGGTAACGGTCGATCGGAAGGCGTATAATCGTCTTCCCTTAGAAGGTTATCTACATTTCTCTGTTAACCACTCAAATAACTTCAAGGTTCCTACCACCAGACGGAACACTACTGCCATTGAGGCATACTGGAGTAGGCTTAAAAGGAAACTCCACGAGGGAGGTCCTGTATGTGGTCGAGCTGTGTGGGTTAACATAGACGAAGTACAGTATCTTCTTTAGTTTGGCCTCAATGCCATGTCTTTCGCATATGCCTGGGAGCTGCTCCTGTTGCAAGTTGTGCAGAATTAACCTATTTCCTAGTGTTCATGTTTTGTAATAAACAGCCATAATGCGAATGTATGCCGTATATTCAGGTGTACGTGTGTAACGATGGGGAAGGTTGGGTAACAGCGACCGTCATTCATGTAACCTCCTGCGAAGTTTGTTCGTCCAACCCAAGTGAGGCCATTGCGGAAAGGCTAAGTAGTGCGTAAAAGTAGGCCTTCAACCGCTGATATAGTCTGAAGGCGGTTGAGTCCACTGTTTAAGGTATTATTATAGGTAACGGATTTTTTGTGTGCCATCTCCCGATCGCTACCGGCTGATGAAGTCGGAATAAAGAGTCAGTCAGGGTAGGAGACGAAAATTAGAAAACGAAAGGAGGCTCATGATAGAATCAGCGTAGCCAAAGCTTATCTGTGACAAAGCAGCTGTGCTCCAGCCTAAAGAATATACCATGAGCTCAGAAAACGAACTACGCGACCATAACGAAGAGGACAATTTAATTTTTAAAGAATGCGGAAAAAAATGGAAACTGGTGAATAAAAGAATGAAGAAACATCGGTTAATTATCCACTTCCTAACGCAAGCTTAATGAAGCAGTAGAAATCCAACAGAAAACACATTGCACGATTGCAAAAAATGGTTGTGGTCAAATAACGTTAAATGCGTGTGCATTCTCAATTGGAGGATACACTCCGTCACGAAAGATGCTGATGGAATTGCAATGACCGACTGCCAGTTAAGGCGCGCGTTTTCGGGGTGTTTTCTATAGTCGACACAAATTTAGAAAAACAAAGCTGCCTGTGGTGTAACTTAGGCGGTGGAAGCAAAACAACTTGGTCCTTTGCCGTGAAAAATCAGCGTCTACACCCCCCTTGCTTCCCGTTACACACGACTGTGCTGAATTAGGATCACAGGCGACCTAATGTAAAGGGGTCTAGCTTTTGCCATTTGAAACGGATGAGAGAAAGTTAGAAGGTCGCCTACGTGGCGTTCTCCACGCTACTAATCTTAGATATGGCATGAGGTTCTCGTTTGTTTAACCACATAGTAAGGATTGCGTTTGCGAAACCGTCGTGGGACTCAGGCCTATGCAGAATCTCAGATTATATAGCACTGCATGATTTAACATCGAGGTTTTTTGTACAATGATCTAGTGTTCAGGCTGTTTGGCTTGGTCTTTCAAAAACATCAGCGTGCAACAGAAGCTCGCCTCGTTGGCATTCTTGCCGCTGACAGATGTGGGCAATACGAGTGATTTCGTTACGTGGAAAAATGAATAGAATATCACCTACCGCTATCCATCTCTGAAACATGAATGTTTTCAATAGAATCCATATGTATCTGCTGACGCAGCCGCTTCCTAGCTATTTGTATTTTCTCTGCGAATAAAACCATACTTTGTTCGTAATTGAATACCAAACTTCTGATACAGATGCGGAAAAGAAATATATCTATGGTTTTAATTTGGGCTTCACATGATTGTCTATTGACAAGTGGTCAACTCATGGGATAATTAATCCCCGTATATACTGCAATTTTCGGTGGACAAAACAAGAATTCTTCGTAGGGCATAAATATGTTCCGTCCATTCATTCCATTTGGCCATACGTCAAATGCCTGGAAGGCTAGTTTTAGAGATGGGGTTGGAACTACTGTTAGAGTTTGAGGGGTCAGCGTTTGGAGTCTTAACGTTGAGTTTAGTTGTCTTGTTTGGATACACAATTTAAATTTAGTGCTATGTCACCCCTATTTCTGAGGGGTACCTACCATATTATCCGACTGAATGCAGAATCATTAGTAAGTTTTCCATTTTCTAATGCAAACTCCAAGTAGCATTAGAAATCCGACCGTAAAATCATTGCTCGATTGCCAGGAATGTGTGTAGTCAAATTACGTTAAATGTGTGCTTTTTTGAATATTTTTAATTTTCAGTTAATCACAATATTCTCGACATCCGTGTGGGCTGGCTTCTTCACTTCTTCTTTTGCCTTTATCACGCGCAGCTGTGCGGCTGCTGGTTGGGCTCGAGAAAAGGCCCGCAAGGCACAACGAAACGAGGGAGTTCCGAAAGAACGATCGGCGAGCTCCACTTTGCCATATATTAGTCGGTGGGCCAACTCTTTAAATGTCAGTCAAAATTTCGAAATGCGTTCTTGTTTCGAAAAGATTAATTTAGTAGGATTGTTAAACTAAACATTCTGCAGCACACTTCTATAATAATCCAATAAACTTATAGTGCTGGCTTTCGAATGGACTTCTTTTCGGCTGCATGCAGGAACCTTACTTAGCAAAAAATGACTACTTTAATAGCATGCAATTTTCTCATTGATTTTCGATGTCCTTAAACATCTTATTATAGTTAATGAAGTACAGGAATAAAAGAATCAATTCTTTTGGTTATTCGGTAAACAATAACATCATTTTCAACGTCATATTCTATGTAAAGGCATACGTCGGTTTCATAAAAGTTTGTTATTGTGAGAGGTTTTAATAACGGGACATATCCGTTCATAAATCGTCATATCTCAACATTTACCAATAGGGCTCAAATGCACTGCCAAATGTTATAACTCCATATGGTCTCCTTTTAGCAGCTCAGCTTAATATATGGTTTCCCGTACACGGATAATTTATGGCTTGTAGTTTGGAAAGCCTGCATGCAAGTAGTATAGCAGGTCGTTTTCAGTATGACTAGGGAATTAGAAAGTTTTGAAGACCGAATTATGTCTTTTCTTCGAGTATAAAGTTAGAAAAAAACGTAATTGTTTACTGAATGAGATAAATAATTAATAATTTTATTCATGTATTTCATGAAATATAATTGCATGTTTAAGGGCATCGAAAATCAATGAGCAGATTGCATACTATCGAAGTAGCCATTTTTTGCAGAGTATGGTTTTTGCATGCAGCCGAAAAGAAGTCCATTCGAAAGCCAGCACTATAAGTTTCTTGGATTATTATAGAAGTGTGCTGCAGAATGTTTAGTTATACAACCCTTCTTAATTAATACTTTCGAAACGAGAATTCATTTCGAAATTTTGACTGACCTTTCATGAATTACCCCGCCTACTGTGTGTTTATACAATAGAAGATAAGCTGCGCGTCCGCGGACACACATGGAAGAAGCAGAAATCTGGTGAACCATAGTTTTACTGTCCTGAAGTTGGAAAAGCAAAAAAGGTGTCCATCGTCGAAGTTGAGTGTGATGTCGCGCGTCACCGTATTTGTAGGTGGATGACAGTCATGTTAGGACAGGTTTTCACATATGAGGTCAGAGCGGGAGGGAAGAAGGGCCACGGGGGGAGTTATACAGCGACATGTCGCCGGGTGAGGGGTAATTTTTTAGCTTTGGAAGTCACCGTCCGCATGTACACGATGACTGGGACGGACGAGGGGAGGGAGCGTGACAGAATTACTCAACATACATCGGGGGCCGGCGTTGAGACGTTGGCGACCGCAGTTCGTATCTTCATTGACCTTAGCTGTCTTCCAATGCTGGCAAGCTTGTTAGAAGAATAGCATTACTGACAAAGTCAACCGCCAGGATTGAACTACTGCGTTGACGGTTGCGCCTTCGTCAGACCCGAGCTGAGGGGCTGCTACGTGTGCATCCGCCATGGACTCGCTCATATTTGGACTCATGTTTAGCTTTGATTGGCGTTTGCTCATTTGTTCACTGAGCTGCACCCGAAAGGCTCGATGGGCAATGGGTAGAGCCCTCCAACGGTTGATGGGTATTGTCCCCGTCTGCCAGGCCTCGATGGATATTTCATTTCTGCCTGATAACTTATTTCATCAGAACGGTGAATTTTGGCCAGATTTATAAGGCTGCACACCGTACTCCGTTTGTGAGAAAGAGGGTGGTTTCTCTCGAAATGAAGGATGACATCTGAATATGCCACTTTGCAATAAACTGATGTATAAATTGATCCATCAGTTTTTCGACTTACATGGCAGAAATGAGATACCTCGACAAACTATTCGTCCAAAATGCGTACGCACATGATTTTATACGTCAATGCATGAGGCACTAGCAATTCAGGGAAAAAGTATTCCCAATACTACGGCCGCGAGGTCATCAAAACAACCACCTGGCAAACTCCTTCATATGCTAAAAAATATATCTGAGGTAACCGACAAATACATTACGCATACAGCAAATACACCTTAAAAACAGAGTTGGCCACCTCGAAAAAAAGTTTTTGTCTACAAAGTTCCATGCTCCAGTTGAGATGCCGTGTGTTGTGGCCAAACTGGGTAATCTGTCTCAACCCGCGGTAAAGAGACGCGACCATCTATCCCAGGTGGTAATGCACACATTGGACACAGATTTACATAGGAGAACACCCACAATATTAAAGCCTGCCAAATAAGAAAATAACTTCGGTTTCCTGGCGACAGTAAACCCAAATGAGGCTTGCATCAACCGGCATATCCATCTAGATCTCGCATACAAAATCGTTAAAGACAAATACAAAGTGATCCAACCAATGCCACGGAGATGATGAAATGTTAATTGTTGTTGCACTCCCATAGTCTGAAGACGAGCTGGGGAAGCTGACTCAAAAATTTACACAATAAAGTCTACTGTCTCCCAGGGAATTCCATCCTTCTAATTAAATTTCTTGAGATGCCCGTTTTTCAATTTATATATATATATATAGCACGGGACATGACAACGAGCCGGTAGCTCAGTGCTTAGAGTCCCAGGTATTACAGACGTTGAGGTCGAGTATGACTGGCTAACGACAGCTAATAAGCCAGAAATGGTACTTCCAGTCTCCCTTGTCCTTGTCAATAATAACCGTCCGCCAATATCGTGCGCCGCTTTGCGGCTGCTGGTTTGGCTCAAGAGAGAGCCCGTACGGCACAACGAGTAGATTGAGTTCTGTAAGAACGACCGGTGGGCCCCCCTCTACCATTATACATATTCATGTATGAAGGCAAGTGTGAACCATTCCATACGCCTTCATCAACCCTAATGATTACTAAGCCAACTATATTTCCCCCTTTCAGGTAGCGATGGACGAGTAAATTCAGCTTTTAAATGCGCCCAGTATATGAAAATGAATGCTATTATTCTAGCTTAGTATACAGCGTAAACGAGATTTACTTGACACATTCATGAGAATTAAGCAGCCTGGATTTGGTTTGAAATCACGAAAACAAGGGCAAGGCCTAGTGCTTATGCTCTAACCATAAAACCCCATCGGTACAGCTAATTCAGAACACATTTTGCTCAAGTTACTCGCCGCACTTACAGTAACGAATGAACCTACCGAATCCAAAACAGTGAGTTGACCGCTCAAGCAGGATTTCCTAAGTAACTCAATTTAAAACCTACCAAAATGGCTACCGAACCCACTCAATGAATTGGCGTTTTGGCAAATTTCACTCAGTTGTGAAAACTTCAGCTGCAAGCTGATTTGACAAAACCCTTTACTAAACAGTGAGACGCCTGGACATCAAAACGGAGCTGTGACCTTTTGTTCACAAAGAAAATTATCCGTATGTAGGTTAACATTTGTCCTTCAATTTACAAACATTTTGTACGAGGGACCAACTAAAGCATCAAATTATCTTGGAAAATGGCAGCTTTCTAGACGGGTTTGATGAATAAACAATATGTACAAATTGTGGATGCCTTTAAAATGAACACACCAATGTCTTGCAGCATGGTTTGTGACTTGAGTCACATTCTGTTCACCACGCAAATGCATCGCGAATTACATGCTGTATGGTAAGAACAACTGAGATAAGTACCCATATAACAACGACGACTGGAATGTGACCAAAACGATACCGATAGTTTTCATATGCTGGCGTTTTAGTCCATAAAGTTTTATCTATTCGCAATCAAAACCTCTGACAAAGGTGAATTTTGTCCGCTTCTATTTTCACTGAGGCGCAATAACAATCGGTTCTCACTACGAAATATTAAAATGAACGGGTTTTTAATTTAGCATCGTTACCTGAAATTTAACCATGTTTTACTTAAGACACAGAGGTCCAACATAGAAGCCTGACAATGAAAATGCGAAACCAAGCTCTCCTTTGGTCGTACAAAGAAAGCAGAAGCAAAGATCGCCGAAAAGATAGTGTTTGGGTTAAATTCATGTGAAAGCTGCGATCTACACTGTAGTTAAAGGACAGCAAAGAATATGCAGCGAAAAAGCACCGTGTCTAGCAAAAATGAAAAACCTGCTGATTCAGCAGTGTCTAAATAAATTATGTAGCAATGCTTTCACGCATTTCACCGTCTCAGTAATTCTTATATTTATCAGCAACTTAATCTAGTTATGCGCGTCAAATAAACGAAATTGCGCCCTTTAACGCGCATATCGTTTTAACCTGAAAGCACAGAGATGCAATCTTAGTAAGGGAACAAACCCCTGACTGGAGAAACGCAGGATACAGGATATGGCGGTGTGTGTCGATTTGTTATTTGGTGTTCCTCAAAAAACGATACGGATTTGCATTGTTTTAATCGCCCGCAAATCGACTGTGTGTGCAGATGTGGAAAACAAAAATGTTGTTCCAGTAACGGATTTATCCAATTGACTGTCAGTGAAATCGCTTTTCTGAGTATATAAACGGAACAAAAATGTCGAGGAATAAAAAGTGGTAGTTAAACACAACTCTAGTTATGAAAATGTCTTCTTCGATTCTGCTCAAGATTGCTCTGCTTTTCTTAATTGTTTCTTCCGGTAACTATTATTCCTTTGGTTAAATTTTCACAAAAGCAATCTTCGTATAATTTGCAGTCTGCTTATAAAATTACCTCTACGAATTAACCAAACTTAGAGGCAATATCATGTTCTTTTCAAAACATTTAGTAAAGTGCTGTTGGAGATGGAAATCTGTAAAGGATCTCTTCAAATCCACAACCTACAAAATCTGCAAAGGCGAGCATAAAGAATGCACGTCTGTGAGTTACAGAGCGGAGGACGAAACAAAGGGCGCAGGCTGCCGTGACGCCTGTGCAAAGCAGCGAGGTCTGTTCCTGTTGAATATGCATGCTTCCGCAGTTTGTTTTTTGTGTTCGTTGATGTTCCATTAATTTATGGACTCATGCTCGAAGTATCCTCGACGACAACTATCCGATTCTTTTAATTTCTGTAGAAAATCTAGAAGAGATATCAGAAGCATATTTTTGTGAAGAAAGTGGTAAACCATGCGAGGCTTACAATGTTTATGGACGACGTGGCTACGAAAAGACCTTCGAGAGACACGTCATGTGTGTCCAGGTGTGTCAGCTTTCAGGGCAAGGTAAGTAGGTTCACGGCCTGCAATCAACCCTATGCTTGTTAGGCTAATCATTCTTTGTTCTAAAAGAGAAATTATACTAAATTAAATTCAGATATTGTTGACAGTTTGTTTATAATTTTACTTATGAAAACAAACGTTCGTTTCTAGCTCAACACAGCTCCGTGGATTACATTAAAATGTGTTCGCCCAATTTGGACATGTGCGATGAAATAAGGAGAATAGGGGAAAATTTTGATGCCTTCGATAAATGCGCCTTCAAATGCGACGGTTGGACTAACTGTAAATCTAAAATTCTTGCCTTCAATGCGCATTCTATTTTTAATCATTCTATTGTTCCTGCTTGCCTTATCGCCGTTGTTATAGCATGATCTTTTTAATTAAAGTGAACAACAACATGGAGCAGACTGTTCAGTTCAGCATCCCGGGGAGCGAAATCGTATATGGCAAATACTTTTTTAATCCAAACAATGAAAATGCCTTCATCGACTTAAAGAACTGCCTCAGACGTTGCATGTCAGGTGACGCTTTCCACTTTACCAACAACCGGCGTGTTGGTCCGATACAACTGGGTAAGTAAAAGTAACCTAACATACTTCGTGATATTACCAGGAAAAATATGAATTTATTGTAGCCCATTCAGAAGATAGGCGCGTCTATATTAGTGGGCGTGCGAGGATTTATGTTGCATTTATATACGTATGTCTGAGCGAGGTAATTTTCTCTTTCCTTGTAAACGTGCTTATACAGAGCTAAAATTGTTTTTTGCCGAATTTAACGAGATCATGCAGCTTCTGCTCCAGCACAGTTGCTATGAATAAACTGACCATTGTCTGATGTTGAGTAAACTGCATTAAACCGTATTCAGCACATGAAGAACATCGACTATAGTCTAATTTTGAATGTAATAAACCTGATACCTATACGACGGTCCATGAAATGTCTAACAACAAACTGATGTTTCTACTTCAGAATGAGTGACTTCGACAATACCTGGTTGCGGGTTGACATTTTCAAACGCGTTTTTGTTGGTGTGGTTTTGTGGTTTTTAATAATAAAAATATACGCCTAAATTGTTGAGCTGCTATGAAGGGAAATTCACTCACGGATTAAATGCTAAGGAGCAGATTTATGTTGGACAATGAGCGTGGCACGGATTTTATAGTGTACGAGTTGTGTCCAAGCGATAACTCTTGAAGATTAATTGTCTGCCCTTTTAGACGGCAGATGCAGAAGCACTCATGTTCTGAAAATTTAAGTGTTTAATATCGTGCATAGAAAATACTTCCGGTGGTTATTGGGTATTTTTTAAAGTTTGGCTTAAAGTTAAGGCATCTGGGGGATAATTGGAATTGACGCTTAGCCCTGCGCATCTACTGACTGCTAATCAGAGTTTCGGAGAATACCACATAGGCTGGAGAACAAAAATGGAAAGTATTTTTGAAGATGAGTGAATGACAAAACGAGGTATGTCTGTTCTAAATTCACCTCGGTCTGAGGAAATTCATAGACAACGCTTCAAATTAACTTAAAGAGTTTCTCTGTCAATATGGGTTGTTAAAAGTGCGGAAGATTAACTAGGAAGGAGGAAGTGTCTCAGAGGGTTCAAAAGGTATGTTGAAAAGTTCATAACAGAACGTCACAAGTTGTAAGTAGAGGAATGAATAAGGCGGCAGAAGGGTGAGTGGAAGTGGGGGAAGATTCAACACAAAGGTCACATGTGGCGTCTTGAAAAGCATACTACAGACCCCGGTCGATACCTCGAGAGTCGTATGGCGTAACTACAGGCTCAACCTCGAACGAAACTAGAAAGCGCCCTGTACTGGCAGAAACGAACCTTCAGAAATTTCAGGGTTTCACAGGATCGAGCAGGGTAGACTGTAACAACTTTTACAGAGGGACAGAATCCGGAGTTAAAGAGGGGCTTTTTGAATGATTCCAACAGCAGCACATATTTATATCAAGATGCAGGCGATCAGAGTTTCTTTAGTTTGATGTCAATCGGATAATCTAAAAGAAGGAACAGTTTCAGAAAGTAAACTATGTAAGTCAAAACATTGTCTAAGTTAAGGCTTTGCTTGGATGGCTGAGCACGAATGACCAACACGAAGTTTTGCCAAGCATAATTGTAACAACAGCAAAAACCCAGTCTCTAGACGGACATCCCTCATAATCGACCTTGCTATTGGTTTGTGATTCACCATAGGAATCTTAAGTCAATTACTGAAGCACCAGGCTACGGATGATTGACCACCGTGGTATTTAGTTTACTATGCTCATCGAGGTGTTTGCGGTTGTTATGGCCTTTATGTCCGGGAGTGACACAAGATAGAAGCAAACTGCAGCCATTGGATTTCGACTGTGATTTGCCTGTCGCGCATGTCCGTCTCTCTGTTCATTACGTTTCCTTACTTACTGTGCACAATTTGTTTAAGTGATTCGGAATTCAGAATGTGTCAGGTAAAAGCAAAAGCGTGCTACATAAAGCAAGATACAAAAAAACAGTAAGAGGCATGAGGTCAAGAGTGTGCAAATGGGCTGCGCGCTACAGACACCTGGCAAAATGCTCCAAACACTTGACGAGACGAGTCTGGAGGCAAAAGTCCGTTTTCTTCGACTGAGTGCCATGCGCGGAGAGTTTGGAGCCAGCATAAGGAAAACGTATATCAGTTTAACCGTCTGGTCATACTCTCAGATTTACGTCAACGCAGATTAGTTTAAACTAACATATGCATTGAAAAAATGTGGGCACGTTAGTAAAAAATCAAATTGGAAAAAAATCAGATGAGTATCAGGTCATGAAGAAAATCGGCATGGGCGATATACGTATGTTCAAGTGCAGCAAAATTATCGCATTTTGCAGTCAATAAATACATCTATCATCGAACATCAATTGGTCTATTGCAAAAATAATGATAGCCATAGTAAGCTGCGCGGATGTGATTTATGATTAAGAGCATCTGACGATGAGAGCCGCGAGGAAGGATTCACTCACTCAATTACGCTTATCACAAAAAAGGCCAAGAGCATCTGGTTCGATTCATCATTTTAAGTACAGACCGGTAAAACAAAACCGTTGCGCTTGGATTCTGTTGTTATGGAAAAAACGCTTGGAGTAAAATATGATTGTAAGCAAAAAAACTGCTGAACATGGAAATTTTTATTTTGAATGAAATAATAATATAAGATTAGAAAGGAACTGAAAATCAATAGAAGTTCTTTCAAGAACACTAACATAACGCGTTTTATAACGCCAAAATGCGAGAAGAATAATTATTATGTTTCAACGCGTATAGCGTGGAATCGACAATCAGGTCTGCGACATGGGAGATCCTTCAGCTGCGAGGTCACACGTTACGTCGACTGTGACTGACTAAGTCTTATGCGCTTAGGAGCGTAGGCGCTTCTGATAGCTCAGAATCCTCAAAAATGTCTAAGCTGTTTCACATTCAAAGGGCTCTGGAGGTCATCGAAATATATCGATGTCATCGGATTTTCAGAAATACTTATCAATACAAATGAAAGTCATCCCGCTTTTCACTCAAAAGCACCATTATGTGCACATTGAATATCATATATTTAAGCAAATAGAGACGTCGGCAAAAATATGGTATCAAATGTTTTAACAAAGCAGGAGGATCAGCGACGGTATGTATTTTCGAAAAAGCGTGAATGAGTTGGCCGTCGAAGGTAAAAAACTTGGATACCAGCAGATCATTGGGAATTAATTTGAGCACACGAAAGTATTTGCGGAAAAATATTTGTAAATGACAATGCTGAAAAATGAAAGTACATAGAAAGATGGGTTTGGACAGTACTTCAACAGGATGCAATAAGGCTGATGAAGTCGGAATAAAAAGTCAGTCAGGAAAGGAGAAGAAAGGAAAACGGACAGAGGCTCATGATAGAATCAGAAAAATGGATGGCGTAGCCAAAGCCCGTCTGTGGCAAAGCAGCTGTGCCCCAGCCTAACAATTATAATATGAGCTCAGAAAACGTACTAGGTAACCATAACATAAAGGACATTTATTCTTTTAAGGAATGAGGGAACCAATCGAAACTGTTGAATAAACGAATAAAGAAACATCGGTTAATTCTCCACTTCCCCATGCAAACTAAATGTAGCAGTAGAAATCCAACCGAAAACACATTGCTCGATTGTAGAAAATGGTTGTAGTCAAATAACGTTAAATGCGTGTACTTCCTCCATTGGAGGATACACACCGTCATGAAGGATGCTGATGGAAATGCAATGATCGACTGGCAGTTAAAACGCAGGTTTTCAGGGTGTTTTCTACAGTCGGCAAAAATTTAGCAAAATAAAGCTGTCTGCGGTGTAACTTAGGCGGTGGAATCAAAACAACCTGGTTCTTTGCCGTGGGAAATCGGCGCGTACACCCCCGTTGGCTCGCGGTAAACAAGACCCTGATGAAGTAAGACCACTGATGACCTAGTTTAAAGGAGTTCTGGTTTTGTCATTGGAAACGGATGAGAGTAAGATAGTAGGTCGCCTACGTGGCGTCCTCCACGCCACCAATCTTAGATGTGGCATGAGGTTCTCGTTTGTTTAACCACATAGTAAAGATTGCGTTTACGAAACCGCCGTGGGACTCGGGCCTATGCAGAATCTGAGGTAATATAGCACGGCATGATTTAACATAAAAAGGTTATGTACAATGATCTAGTGTTCAGGCAGTCTGGCCTGGCATTTCAAAAACATCAGAGTGTAGCAGAAGCTCGCCTTGTTGGCATCCTTCACGCTGACAGATGTGGGTAATACAAGCAATTCCTTTACGTGGAATAATGAACAGAAAATCACTTACTGTTATCCATCTCTGAAACGTGCATGTTCTCAGTTGAATTCATATGTATCTGCTGTCATAGCCGTTTCCTAATTATTCGTAAAACCATACTTTGTTCGTAAATGAATGTAAAACTACTGATACGCATGCGGACAAGAGACAAATTAATGCTCTGTTTTTCGGGCTGAACATGAATGCCCTTCGAGAAATGGTCAACTCATGAAATAATTAATTACTGTATATATTTGAATCGTCGATGGACGAAACAGGAATTCTTGGTAAGGCATAAATATGTGCCATCCTTCCATTATATTTGGCCTTGCGTCAAATGCCAGGAAGGTTAGTTTTAGGGATGGGGTTGCAGCTACTGTTAGAGTTGGAGGGGTTCAGATTTGAAGTCATAGCGTTGAGTTTAGTGGTGCTGATGTGATACACAATTGAAATTTAGAGCAAGGTCACTCCTATCTCTGAGCGTGACCTAGAAATATGCCGAACTAAATATTTTCATAGTTGGAGAATTCGTGGGGAATTCTAGCGCAATTCAAAAAAAATTAATCAAAAACAAATTAATTCTGCAAAGATTCTGGTATCGCGATTGAAAAGTCAGTTGACAAATATATGTTTTTCAGTAACTTGTCATCAGGCCAATGCATTCACATTAGCAACGATCCTTCTAATTGAAAATAGAGTATAAATGTGTCACTGGAGGCGGGGTTTGTCAGACTCCATGTCCACACGTCGCCGGCATGTTCGGAGTCGGCTCGTTGAGGACGATGTCGTCGGTGTGGGAGAGGGGTGGGAGAGGCGTTCGTGTTAGATTGTAAACATGGCCTGCATGTTAAACATGCAAAGTGCGTGTGGCTATTGCCGGGACGTTGAGGGAATCAAAGCCTTTCATCGAGTATTAAATTGAAAATGATTAAAATGTGAAGATTTTCATGCAACTTCTCCATGAAATACGATTGACCTACTAAGGGCTTCAAAAATTTATGAGAAACATTTGTGTCGTCTATGTAGTCCCCTCATACAGAGGGTGGTTTTTGCATGCGGCCAAAATAAAGTTCCATCTAAAGCCAGTATACTGAGGTAACTGAATTATTTTAGAATTATGCTCCATGATTATTGATTTCACAAATAAACTTGAATGATTTCTTTGAGCCAAAAACGCATTTATGGATTTCGGTTAATATTCCGCGGGCTAGCACACCAACTGCAATCTGGTTAAGGGTAGCACTGAAGTTTGCGTAAGGCGAGTAAACTCATTTTTCAAAGCCTAACAGAACCTCTTCCCCATACTGACGAATTATATATTCCTTTATATTGGTTTTGACCGTATTTGTAGATAAAGAAACAAAAGAGGAAATAAACACCAGACCCAAATTCGTATGAGTGATCACAAAGAAAATTCGATCAACCTGATTTCGAAAGACACTCAGTTTTTACAACAAATCCCCTAGACAGATGTATACCTACAGTATGTCTGTCTCGAGTTTCCATAATTACGAGCGGCTAGATAATTATTAAATCGACGGGAGGAGAACCGTATTCTCGGTTCAGTTAACGAACATGTAGGTAGCATCACTAACGTCAATATCAATATTAATACGGCTGCATTAACGCCAATATTACAAACCACATAGGCAGCTTCGGCTGAGAAGAAAGAGGCGAAATTATACCGACCGCTGGCAAAATGTTCTGGCTGCATTGACGTTGTGATAAAAATCTTAGTGTCCTGCCGGCATTTGTTGATCTGGCTGGACATTTATTGCAATGACATTTATTGCCAGAAAAGTTTACGCGCTAAGCTACTGATGATCAGCCGAATCAGGTAGAAAGTACGTCCCGGAATCAACGGGTTGAAATTGTGTGGCAACGACCATCTCGGATCACGACAAGATTTCCGTAAATGCAGTTCTTTGATTGTGACTATATCAGTTACTGCATGAAAAGACCTAAAGTATTTCGAGGGTAGAAATATGTGATCGGTTGTTTCAACAGCATGTTGTAGCCTTGGTTCCACCAGGTCAGGGCAGCTTAAGTAGCAGCAGTCAGGTCCGAATTCGAAACAGGAACAATTTAAATACAGTATGGCATGACTACTATTCTCTAGAAACGCGAGAAAATGTATTTTCTTAAGAGTGGGCGGTCAAACGAACAGAACACGCTCTGGGCCAGACGTCTGGATGTCTATAATGAGATCTGGCTAGCATCATCAACACGGTTGAAAGGCCGGCTGTGACAGGTTGACCACTGTTTGGAAACTCCTAGTTTTAAGTAAAAGCTGGACGTGATCAGTCTACAAATTAATGAAGGGCTGCTAGTGGTGCTTGCACGGAGACTTTGTCGAGTTAGTATCAGTATCAGTATATTTCAGGGAAAGTAGGTGTGTACCTTTGAAATCCCCATTGGTTACATGCAGAGGATATATATGGAGGAAATGGAGAGGAAGTAACATGAAAGAAATGCAGGGGAATAGCAAAAACTGTACAGATGAACACAGAATGTCATGCGTTAACGGTATTTAGAGGCACATTAACTTGCTCTGTCGATCAAATTCAGTGGACAGTTGAGGCCACTTAAGATACGGGAAAAGAAGTAAAATTGTTAAGTCTACAGGCATCGTGGTGAATGCGAGCAGCAGTGTACGAAGTGGGTCAAAATTAATAAATTACATAAACACATGTTACTTGAATGTTGGTAGTAGCATCGTAATAAAAATAAATTGTCAACATTGGATTTCAAAGTGGCCGTAGTCCGGTGTTATTGTGGTGCGCGCTCCAATGCTGATCTAGCATCCGTTTAAAAGTATCTACGGAGCCCGACAGAACAACATCCTCAGTCAAGGCATTCCAAGCTGCAACCAATCTGTTTGAGAAGAAGAACTTTTGGTGTCTAGCCGGGCACAAGACACACGCAGTTTGAGTGGATGGCCTCTCAGGTTGGTCGTAGTCGCCAACTCGAAGAAGTCTCCAAACGCGAGGCAGCAGCCCTGATTTCGCAGAATGCGGAAAGCTTGTATCAGGTTCCCACGTTGTCGAGTTGGAGCGTGATGTTAAAGAGAACAGCTTCATAGGAACATTTAAAGCATATATGCAGCACGAGTAGGTTGTCATTGCTTTTTGGGGTACCAACAAACTCTACCAGGTTGTTTTCAAAAAGACAGATTTCGGGAGAATGCGGAGGATCCTGCCTAGGCTGTGGACATTTTCGAGCCTATTTTGTGTGCATTTTAGGTATTCTTCGTAAATTTATGTTTGTCGTATCTGAGGCAATTTCTGCTCAGCACAGTAACTGCCACCTAAAAAAATCAGTCGCAGCTATAGTTATTTGATCACAGATAACACTGATTGACCGGCGGTTAGGTCAGGACCTCAAGGTCCATTCCGCGACGCATAAGATTGACCTATTCATGCATCCGTAAATCAACAAACGTGACAGACCATACACACGCACATCAACTCCTTTGGTAGCATAACGCATGGAGAGAGCAAGAGAGTCCACTTTCAGTCGGTCTCTGATGGAGAGTTAAGATAGGCTCAAGGAGAGATTTTTCACAATCACACTTTGGATAAAAATCAAAGATTAACGTAAAGACAGATAAAATCAACAATGGAACGGGGGCGGAGTCATTTTATGCCCATTAAAACAGTGGACATATTAATGATAGTTCTGGAGCAAGGATCTACTGAACGCCCCCAAGCATCACCAACTGGCCACAGCCACCTGTCCTACGGGCATGCTGGTGATAAGAGTTATACGGGTGGGGCATCTCGATGGTATATTTTCTGTCAAAAATAAGGAAAGTAAGTTAAGTGCTTCAAAGTGTGACCCAAAACTTACAATACCCTTACATAAAACAACGGAAGCAAAGCGGTAAATTTAGAAAGTAAGCAGTAAGAAACATTTTAAGTGTAATCGATTTAAGTTCACCGCTAATCAATAGTTTTCATCGGGACATGTAAACAATGCAAAGCAAACCAATGAGAATGCACGGAGATTGGTGAGGGGACGCGTGGCGCTGTAATTTTGTGAAGGGAATTGCAATTTCCCTGATCGGTATCACAACGATATCAGATCAATCTGGTTGCCAGAATGGATGTCCACAAACGTAAACAATAGGCGGACTGCGTCATTTCTTCTGTGTGATTTTAGTTTTTTGAATGCAGGTGACGTATAAATATTTTGGTATTTAATCCTGAAGATCCGAAGGCATTAATGTGGCGGAGTTGCATTTTCGCAATACGCTATTATTTTCTCAATATAACAGGTCATGGTCAGCGAAGGCCAAAAGAATTGCTCAAAATAAAACACAGCACGGTGTTCAAAGTGAACATGTAATAGAGAAAAAACGATTTGGAGAGATTAGTGAATTTCTGCCAGCGAAAACTATTTCTGCCTACGCCATTGACATGCGGAGTAAGAACAAAATGAAACAACAAGTCCGGCGGCGCCGCTCAGACGGTTTTGTATTGCAATGCGTCCGATGCCGAACGAGGAGGACGCTGAGAACTGGCTCTGTATTTGAGAACAGCCGACTCATGATCAGCACAATTTTGGTTGTCTTTTCTAAGGGGAATGCGAGTAAAGCACTGTAAAAAGGATATAAGTGTGACCCATGACACGGTTGTTGAATGGTAGGCACTTTCTCGCAATGCGTGTTCCACCGCATCCATGAAGAAAAACCCGGAAGATCGGCGGTCCAGTAATTGAGGCAAATTGAATTAGAGCAGATCGAAAAGGGAGCTTCACGAAGACGGGCCGCTAACTGGCCGAGTCAAATGAGCCCATATTGATGGCGTGCAATATAGTCTATGGTTTAGTTTTAATACAGTAGGACCGATGGAAGTTTGGGAAGTCTTTCTGTCTCACGTAGTAGAGGCATGCCCAGTGTAAAGGAAACAAAGCGTAGAGAAATGTGGCAGTAGAGTAAGTAGATTGCATTATATAAAGTACTTTGAAGTCATCTGGCTTCTTCTAACTAAGGATTCGGGAGAGCAACATAGGGATAGTTTTGTTGTCGTTTATATCGTAGGGAGTCCCTCATGTTCTCTGATAACTGCGCTATGCAATGGCAACAGAGATATACTCGATTGTACCCTCAGGATGAGTCGTGCAGTGATCCGTGTCAGTCTGTAACAGGCTGGCCATCCAGTGTCTGCGATTGATGAATGAAGTCAACCGATGGCCTCTTGGCAATATGAAATAACTGTACGAACAACAGCATCCTGTATGGAGAAGCAAAGTCGCGCGACTACTTGCCAATTCCCTAAGCTAAGATCATGGGGAGTTATATAATGTGTAGTCAACCGACGACCTCCCAATAGCGACACCGTTGGTGTACGATGAACGGGCCATTGGAGCGGATGCTGCCTGAAGTATAACAGCACAGACAATGGTAGGTTATCCTTACGTGGGCGGTCTCACAATAGCATAGGCTTAGGTCTACGACGAGCGGCCCATCCAAAAGGATGCTGTCCAAAATACTGCATCACAGCCAATAGTAAGAAATGCTACAGCGAAAGGCAAGACCCACGATGAAGTAATAAACCGCAAGAGCTGCTTATGCAACCGGAAGTCAGAAGATAGACCAGTATCAAATAAAACACGACCTAATTAAACGCGTATAGTAGGCAGTCTTTGTACACCGTAGATAACTGGGGGCCTTCAATAGATCCTTACTAGCTCTGGTTGTAAAAATAATATGCATGCACAAATAGTTAATCCTAGTAAACTAAGCATAGGCTATGCATTGGTGCAGAATTTAAAATTGTACACAGGCCAAGGAGTCGACCTCCTATTTCAGTCATATTTATTCCAAACCACAATGCCCAAACGCTTTTAAACTAGGTCGCTGTGATCTCACTTCAGCAGGGTCCTGCTTAACTTGAGTCGACTTGGGTGTGTGCGTGAATTTTCCACGCCAAAGGACCAAGTTGTTTTGTTCCCATTGCTTAAGTTACAACCCAGATAGTATTGTTTTTCTGATTTTGCTGACTGCAGAAAACACCCTGAGAAAGCGCGCCTTAACTGCCTGTCGCTCACTGCATTTCCATCAACATCTTTCATAAGGGAGTATATCCTCCGATAGAGAAAGCACGCGTATTAATCGTAATTTGTCCAGAGCCATTTTCAGCAATCGAGCAATGTTCTGGCGGCCGTATTACTACTGCTATATTTAGTTTGCATTAGGACGTGGATAATTTAGAAATATTTATGGACTCATTTGGATACGCTTGTAGGTACCCCTCAGAACAGGTGCGAGCTTTCTTTAAATTTCGACTATGTTTCACAACACGACCAGTAAATTTAACGCTTATACTCCAAATCCTAACCCCTCCAACCCTAACATCAGCCGCAACCCCATCTCTAAAACTAAGCTACCTGGCATTTGACGCAACGCCAAAAGTAATAAAAGGGCCGCATATATTTATGTTCTAAAAAGAAATCTTCATTTGTCCACCGAAAAGTGCAGTATATACAGTGATTAATTATTCAATGAGCTGACCATTTGTCGATAGACATCCGTGTGAAGTCCGCATTAAAGGCATGAATATATTTCTTTTCCGCATGTGTATCAGAAGTTTGACATTCACTTATGAAGATTGCTTTTGTTAAAATTTAACTAAAGGATTAAGAGTTACCGGAAGAAAAAATTAAGTAAATCAGAACAGTCTTGAGCAGAATCGACGTAGAAATTTTCATCACATGCTGTCAAGCCTAGTAGTTTAATTTTTTAATTGGTTTCTCCTAGAAAAGGCCTGTAACTTTAAAGAGAAATCAGTGCTAACATATATTTTGTCAATTTTTTTGTCAACAACAGCTCACAACCACGTTTTGCCATTTCGGCCTCTTTATGTTAATTAAAGGGTTTAGCCAAATCAACTTACTACTGTTTTTTCACAACTGAGTTAAATTACTTATTCATATTTGCCAAAACACCAACTCATTTAGTGGGCTCAATATTCTTCTGGTAGATTCTTTATTTAATTACTTAGGAAATCCGGCTTGAACAGTCAACTAACTGTTTTGGATTTGGTGGGTTCATGCGTTACAGTAAGCGCGGGGGGTAACTTGAGCAAACTGTGTTCTGAATTGGCAGTACCGGTGGAACCTTATAGATTAGGTGGTTCAACCGTTAGCACCACGCAAGCCTTGTCCCTCTTGTCGTGGTTTCAAACCAAACCCAAAGGCCAAGGAGTCGACCTCATATTTCAGGCTCATTTCTATCAAAAGGCAATGCCCAAACGCTTTTAAACTAGGTCGTCTGTGGCATAACTTCAGCAGGGCCTTGCTTACCGCGAGTCGACGCGGATGTGCGCGTGGATTTTCCCCTCCCAAGGACCAAGTTGTTTTGTTCCCATTGCTTAAGTTACACCCCGTGCAGTTTTGTTTTTCTGATTTTGCTGACTGTAGAAAACACACTGAGAAAGAGCGCCTTAACTGCCTGTCGTTCACTGCATTTCCATCAGCGTCTTATTTTAACGGAGTATATCCTCCGAATGAGAAAGCACACGCATTTAACGTAATTTGACCACAGCCAATTTTTACAGTCGGATTTATTTTGCTACATGTAATTTGCATTAGGAATTTAAGAATTCACCGACGTTTCTTCATTCTTTTATTCGTCCGTTTTTAGTGGTTTCTCTATTCTGTCAAAATTTAAAATGCCTTTTTGATAATAGTTTTATAGTACTCTTCCCGCGGTTATGGTATATCCGTTAACTGCAACATATTTGCTTTCCTCTGAATGGTCAATCATGAAGAATTATTTCTAAAGTATTCCCCTCTCCATTTTAGAGCCCTTTGCGCCCTTACTTATCTTCCGTGTGTCCATTCGATTCTTCGTATTTGCCCTTTAAATGTTGGCTATTCCGTTCCACCAGGCTGCCGTGGGATACCTGTTAATCGAATTATTTATTTTGCAAACAAGCACATTATTTGTACAGTAAATCCCTTTCATGATGAGATTCCAGTTCTGTACCACCTAAGTTACGGATGACTCATCATGCAGTTCAGTTCATTTCAATTAATTAGGGACCATTTGGTGAATGACATTGAAATCCCTATTGGTTTCACTGATCTCACAAATACAGTTCGGAAAGCGAGTGTGAAATAAGGGTAGGTAATTAATTACGCGAAGTTGTATGAATGTGTCTGTGTATGTATACTGTGTCAAAATTGTGAAAAAATCAATACGCAATAATGAAATGGCCCAAGTAACAAGGGAAAGAACGTTTATGCCTTATTCGGCTTTTATTGTTTCGTATTTGCATGTCTGAAAAAGCTGGCCTTAACTGCATGTCGCTCACTGCATTTTCGTCAGCATCCTTCATCACGGAGTATATTGTCCGATCGAGAAAGCACACGCATTTAACTTAAGTTGATTACGACCAGCTGCTGCAGTCGAGCAAATATTATGCGGTCGGATTTCTACCTGTACATGCAGCTTGCATTAGCAAGTGGAAAATTAAGGAATGTTTCTGCATTCGTTTATTCTCCCGTTGCTAGTGGTTTACGCATTCTACGACAATTTACCTAGTCCTTTTGACTATGGTGGCATAGAACGTTTCCTGTGTTTATGCTATATTTGTTAGGCTACAGCACATCTGCTTCGCGACAGATGGGCGTTGGCTAAGCCATCTAGTCACTGCTGTTTCCATCATGATCCTCTTTTGGCTTTCTGCGTTTCTTCTCCTCCCCTGACTGATTCTTTTTCCGACTTCATTAGCACTATTGCGGTCCTATTAAAGTACGATCCCAACCCGTCTTTTTGTATAATTTCATTTGCCTGCAACTCCATTTGCAGATATTTATCTTCAAATACTTTCGACTTACGTATGCTAAAATTATCTACCCATGATCTTTGGGTATCCGTTTTATTTTAACTTCGATGTCCAACTCACTCATGCTCCGTTGAAAATACCTACCATCTCTGATCCTCCTAAGTTTTTAAATCTTTTGTTGTCATATTTTTACCAACGTTGTTTGCATAAAAATGTGATATTCAATATATATCTAATAGTGATTTTGAGTGAAAAGCGGAATGACTATAATTTGTTTAAATCGGTATTTCTGAACTTCCAACGATATCAGTATATTATGATGACCTCCAGAACTCTTGGTATGTGAGGATATTTTGATTTCTTTAAAAAGTCCGAGCTCCCAAATGCGCCTTAGCAATTGACCGCATAAGCCACAGTCAGTCACGGTCAACGTAACGTGTGGTCTCGCATCTGACGGATTTCCCATGTTGATAAACCAGATTGTAGACTCCACGCAGTACGCGTTTTAGCATAATAATTTAATTTTTCGCATGGTGCACGTTGAGCACCGCGTTATGTTATCGTTCGTGAAAAATTCTTTTGATTCTCAGTCCTTTACCAAATTTATCTCATTATTTCATTCAGAATAAAACTTTCCAATTTAGCAGTGTTTCGTTTGCGATAATATTTTATTTCCCGCATTTTCCCATAACAGTAGAATCCAAATGCGACGGTTTTGTTCTGTCGGTCTGCATCATAAACGGTTAATCGAACGAGTTGTTCTTGGGCTTGGTTTCGGACTAAACGAATTTCAGTGTGAATCCTCCCTCACGGCCATCATCTTCATGTCCTCTAAATTATAAATCACATCCACGTGGCTTAATATGGTTGTCATTATATTTGCAATAGACCAATTTGCATTGGGTGGGCTAACTCATGAAATGTCAACCGTATTTCCGAAATGAGTCTTCGTTTCGAAAAGATTAATTAAGTAGGATAGTACAACTAGTCAGCCTGCAATATAATTCTATAATATTTTAGTTACCACAGAATGCTGGCTTTTGAATAAACTACCTTTTGGCTGCATGCAAAAATTAAACTTTGTAAAAAATGATTACATAATTAGCATGAATTTGTCTCATGGATTTTCGACGCCCCTAATAGTCAAATTCTATTTCATAGAAAACCTGCATAAAAATATTTATTGTTCGCCCACTCGGTAGACAATTACTACTTCTTCTAATTGTATACTCAAAAGAGGGACATAACTTGGTTTTAAAACATTTTCTAATTCCCGAATAAAGCTGAACCGGCTGTACCTTCACACTGAGATTCAGGGTATCCAATCTTAAAGCCGTATACTTTTCGCGTACGGAGTCCACACATTTCTCTACGGTAGTAAATGGTGACCATATGGGGTTCATAAAATTTAGCAGGGGATATGATCCATATTGTTAACTTTACAAGCCACATTGGTAAATGCCGAGACATGACGAATTATGAACGGCCATTTCACGGTATTTGAATCTCTCACAATTAGACACATTTTGAAAACCAACTTGTGTTCCTCCTTTGAATATATAATCAGAAGAAGACGTAATTTTCTACCGAATGAGCAAAAAAATGAATATTTTTATGCATGTTTTCTATGAAAGTTTGATTAGACAATTTGTTTAGCTTGCATTGATAAATTTCCAAAACTTTTCCTTCTTTGTGATTATCCGATTGTCATCAAACTGAAGAAACTCTGATCACCTGTATTACGTTTTAAAGATGAGCGACAGCTGTAGTCATTCAAAAAGCACAATTTCAACTCTGGATTCTGGCTCTCTGCAAAAGTCGTTACAGTCAACCTTGCTCGATCCTGTGAAACCTTGAAGTTTCTGAAGGTGCGTTTTTGCCAGTACAGAATGTTTTCTATTTTCGATTGAGGTTGAGCCTACACTTACGCCGTACGACTCGTGAGGTATTGATCCATGTCTGTAATATGCTTTTAAAGACGCCACATGGGACATTTCTGTTGAATCTTCCTCCACTTCCAGACACCCTTCTGCCTCCTTATTTTGTCTTCTACTGACGACTGACAAAGTTATGTTATTTACCTTTCAACAGACCCTTTGATCTGTCTGAAACATTTTCTTCTTCCAAGGTAATTTGCCGCGCTGTTTACAAGCCATCATGATAAAAACCCTAAAGGTTTATGTGAAGTGTTGCCTGTGCATTTCGTAAGCCCAAGGAAATCGCAGAACTGGAATACCTCGCTTATTCATCCACTCATCTTCCAAAATACTATTTATTTTCCATTTTTGTTCTCCGGCTTATGTACAATTCTCCGAACCACTGATTAACAGATAGTAGGCGCGCAGGGCTAACTATCAAGTCCAGTTGTCCCCCAGGGGCCTTAACTATAAGTCAAACTTAAAAACTACTTAAAAACCACAGGAAGTACTTTTCTATTCACAATATTCAGCATTTAACATTTACGAACATAAGTGTCTTCTGAATTCGTTTTCTAAAATTGCAGACACTTGACGGTCAAGAATTATCGCCTAGACACATTAAGTACACTATACAATCCGCGTCACGCTTAGTGTTCAACATAAATCTGTTCGTTAGCATTTAGTCCGTATAGGATTGTCCCTTCATAACAGCTAAACAATCGAGACGTATATTTGTAGAATTAGAAACGGGAAAACCACACCATTGAAAATCCGTTTGAAAAATGTCTGCCCGCAACCAAGTGTTTTCGTGGTCGCTTATTCTAAAGTAGAAACATCAGTTTGTTAAAAGACATTTCATGGACTGCCATAAACGTGTCAGGTTTGTGACCTTAAAAATAGACTTTAATCGATGTTCTTGGTGTGCCGGATAGGAGGTAATGCAGTTCACCCAGCATCAGACAATGGTCAGTTTATCTATAGCAAATGCTCTGGAGCAGAAGCTGCATGATCTCGCTAAATTCGTTAGAAAGCAATTGTGGACTTGCAAAAGCGCGTTTACGAGGAAGATGAAACCTGACTCGCAAACACATGCGCATATATATGCAGCATAAACTGACTCATGACCACCAATAGAGACACTCCTATTTTCTGAATGGGAAGAAATAAATACATATTTTTTCCTGTTAATATCACGAAATATGGTCGAGTAATTTTACTTGCGCAGCCTTCACGAACTAAACCTCCAAGAGGGTCTTGAAGTTTAAAGCATCACCTGACATGCAACGGTTGAAGCAAGCCTTCAAACCCGCGAACGCGTTTCCATTCCTTGGATCAAAAAAGTATTTGCCCTCCGCGATTTCGCTTCCTGGGATGCTGAACTGAGCAGTCTGCTCCATGTTGTTGTTCACTTTAATTAAAAAGATCATGATGTAACAACGGCGAAAAAGCAAGCTGGAACAACCGAGTGATAAATAGTAGAATGAACTTTGAAAGGGAGAATTTCAGATTTACAGTTAGTCCAACCGTCACATTGAAAAGCGCATTTATTGAAGGCAGCGAAGGTCCCTTTGCTTCTCCTTAGCTCAGCGCAGGGGTCCTTTGTGGGCGAACACAGTTTAATGAAATCCGTGGAACTGTGTTGAGCTAGAAACAAGGGTTTGTCTTCATACGTAAAATTATAGATAAACTGTCATTAATATCTGAATTTACTTTAGTAGCCTTTATTTTTTAGAAGAAAACAGAAGTGCCCTAGCAATCATAAGGTTGAGTGCAGACCGTGAAACGACTTACCCTTGCCTGAAAGCTGACACACCTTGACACACATGACGTGTCTCTCGAAGGTCTTGTCGTAGCCACTTCGTCCATAAACGTCGTATGCCTGGCACGGTTTATCAGGCCCCTCACAAAAATATGCTTTTGATATTTCGTCTAGATTTTCTACAGGAATTAGAAGAATTGGATAGTGTTAGTAGAGGATATTTTGAGCATTAGTTCATAAACTAACGAAACACTAACGAACACAGGAAACAAACTGCGGGAGTATGCATTTTATATAGAAACGGACCTCGCTGCCTCGCACAGGCCTGACGGCAGCCTGAGCCCTTTGTTTCATCCTCCTCTCTGTAACTCACAGAAGTGCATCCTTTATGCTCGCCTTCACAGAGTTCGTAGGCTGATGATTTGAGGGCAGGTCCTCTAAATTGGAAGAGATTCTTCAAAGTCTCCCAGCGGCAACAGCATTCTCCTACATGTTTTGAAAGAACAGGATATTGCCTGAGGTATGTTAATTTGCACAGGCAATTTGCATTAAGCAAACTGCGAATTATATGGAGATTACAGTTGTTAAAAGTTAAATTAGGGAATAAAATTTACCGGAGGGAACAATTAAGAAAATCAGTATAGTCTTGAGCAGAATCGACGGAGGAATTTTCATCACTAGATTTGTGTTGAACTACCACTTGCTATTCCCCGACAATTTTGTCCTGTTTATATATTCAGATTTCACTGGCAGTCAATTGGATAAGTTTGTTAGTGGAGGAGCAGTTTAATTTTCCACATCTGCACACGCAGGCAATTTCAAGGCGAACCAAACAATGCAAATCCGCATCGTCGTTTGAAGAATATCAAACAACAGATCGACAAACCCACCGCCATATCCTGTATTCTTTGTTTCTTCAGTCAGGGTTTCGTCCCCCTACTAAAATTGTATCTTTCAAGTAAAAAAGATATGTGCCTACAAGTGTGCAATCTCGCCTAACTGATGCACATGACTAGATCCGGTGGCTGCAAAATATGTGAATAACCGGGACAGTGAAATGCGTGATAACATTCCTACGCAATTCAGTTCATTTATAAGCCAAGACACTGCTAAATCTGCAGGGTTTTTATTTTCTCTAGTAATTGTGATATTTCGTTTCATTTATCTCGCCGTCCTCTAGCTACAGTGTGTATCGCAGATCTAACAGGACCTTAACCCTAACTTTAACTGTTCGGCGAACTTTCCTGTTGTTTTCTATCTTTCTACGACCTGCGGAGAGCTCGGTTTCACATTTTATTTGTCTTGAAATGTCAAAGTTCTATTCTGGAACTCTGTGTCTTAAGTACAACATTATATAATTCCAAATAACGATTCTGGGCGAAAAACCCGTCAATTTTAATATTTTTGTCAGTGAACATAGAAGCGGACGAAATACGTCTTTGTCAGAGGATTTAATTGCGAATAAACTAACTTCTACGGACTTTAACGCAAGCAAAAGAAACATATCAGTATCAATTTGGTTAAATCTTAGCCGCCGTTGTAATATTGGCTTTATAATATTGCTTCTTAGCTAATGTGTATTTATCCTAACAGTTTTACCCTACAACTTGTAATTTGTGATCCATGTGCGCGTTGAACAGAATGCAACTTAAGTCACAACACATGGTGTCGGACACTCGTGGGATCATTTTAAGGCATCCAGCAGTTGTAAATATTGTTTATTCGTCCATTCCATCTAGGAAGCTGCCACTGTCCAAGTAGAATTGATTCTTTAGTTGGTCCCTCATAAAAAATGTTTGTAAATTTAGGGACCAATCAATGTTAACCTAGACTTGGTCAATTTTCTTTGTTAACAACAGCTCACAACCAAGTTTTGCCTTTCGGGCTTCCGTGTGTTAATTAAAGGGTTTGGCCAACTCAACGTGCAACTGATTTGCTCACAACTGAGTTAAATTACTTATTCCAATTTGCTAAAACACCAATTCATTGAGTGGGCTCCGTAGCCTTCTGGTAGATTCTATGCTTAATTTCTTAGGAAATCCTGCTTGAACGGTCAACTCACTGTTTTAGATTTGGTGGGTTCATGCGTTGCAGTAAACGCGGCGGGTAACTTGAGCAAACTGCGTTCAGAGTTAGCTGTACCGGTGGAGCTTTACAGCTCAGGTGGCTAGAGCGTTTGCATTACGCAGGCCTTGCCCTTGTTTTCGTGGTTTCAAATCAAACTCAGATTGCTATGTGCACCTGAATGTGTCAAATAAATCCCGTTTCCACTGTATCTATACGTATACGTGAATACCGAGCTAAAAAATCATAACATTAGTTTTCGTAGACAGAATGAAAGTCTGATTACACTACCACCACCACCACCACCACCACCACCACCACCACCACCACCACCACCACCACCATCACCATCACCACCACCACTATCACCACCACCAGCTAGAACCGGAAACACAAACATGCGCGCAGACACACCTGGCGCGGCTGTTTCACCACATGGGTCATAAGCCCTTCATCGAACCAAAGCTCATCAGTGCCTCGCCACCTGCCATTCTCCTTCGCTGCAGATCGGGTATTTATTCACTCAGGAATGGGCGTGCACCTATCAGTTGGCTTTCCGAAGCAAACAAGCGCTTCGTAAGAGCGATAGGAGTCACTAATAGGCAACCACCTACCAGGCCGAAGTCGGCCAAGCTATGATAGCATAGGGGAGACGGCAGAGTCTTAGGGGTAGATTGATACAGCAATGTTTCAGGCTTGTTCGCCTTCATTCAGTCAATCATAGCCCTGACCATCAGCAGCTGAGACCAGAAACACAAAAATGCGTTACAAAAAGATAACATTCGTCTTCATACTAAGAGGAAAAGTCTGGTTGCATTTAACATCTGAATTTACTCGTCGATCGCTTGCTGTAAGAAGGAAATATAGTTGGCTGAGTAATCATGGGGTTGAGCGAAGTGTTAAAGTAATTCACATTTGTCTGAATACATAAATATGTAAAATGGTAGATCGCGTCTCACCGATCTTTCTTACGGACCTCATTCGTTCCGTTGTGTCTAACGGGTTCTTTCTTGAGCCCAACCAGAAGCCGCACAGCGGCGCATGATATCGGCAGAAGAAGAAATGAAGAAGAGGTTGAACAATTGTGTGTAGCCTGGACTGTGCAAGGCGAAGGAGAGGTTCCTGTCTTACGGGATCGATGGGAAAGGGAGTCTTTTTAGGGTGGGGTAAACGGGGAACCCAATGAAGAGTAAAAAAAAGAGTAAAAAAAGAGGTTCACAAAGTAAAGAATGAAGTTTGTTGGAGGTGATAATGTGCCGAAAATTCAAAAAGGAAGTCGTAACCAATGGAAGCAATATGCCCAAGGCCAAGGCCATTCGGCTTAAGGTGCCCCAGACAATACTGACACTGATGATGAATCCTGGTCAAATGCCAACGACAGGTAGGGCGATGGAAAGTGAACCCGAAGAACGGTAAGTATGAATGCAAAATACGGAGGACGGAAGCCGTATTTATTAATTTGTTCAATAATTTCGAAACGTTTCCCACTTATGGAAGGGTGACAGCAAAGAAGAAACGTAAGGCCGCTCCGCAAGCTAATAATGCCATCGGAGATTGAACAGATCCTGTATATTATCCAGTCCCCATATTTAGTGCAATAGTTACAAGCTAAACGAGTCATGGCGACGGAAGCCAGATGTCGCTGTCGTAAACCGATGCCGCTGCGAATAGTGCGTCAGCACACAGACGGGCTTGCCTTCAGGTACACGAAAGTATTAATATAATGCATTGCCTAGGTGTAACAAATGTAGTACCAAAATGGCACTGAGAACTGATTCGGTGTTTAAGGATAGTCGCCTGGCTTTATCGAAGGTCCCATGTGGCTCAGGCCTATTCAGTATCAGAAGAGCACTCGGAAACCGAGATATTTAGCAGCTGACCGGAAAGGTAAGCAGTGAGATGTAAATGATGTTGTACAAATAGTTCAATAACAGCAGCCGGTGGAATAACAGCCAGGGAGAACAACTGAACGGCCAGGCAATTGACATTTTGGCCACTGAAAACTGGTACAACGGAAACAGTTTGTAATTCTTTCATACTCCGCACTGAAATAGTGAATTCCTTACTATACCTCTCAACCTTTTTTCCCTTTTGTCCCATAACCCCAGCCGAAAATGCGCCAACGGGGATTGAAATCATAGTATTTGAAGGGATTGTTGGAAAACCTATGAACACCCTAACTGCCGATGATGACCAATCGGAAGCCTACTTCGAAGGTACGCTGACGGTCAAACCAATAAATTATGTACGTATAACAGGAGAGCCAAACCTACTGGTCACCGCAAGGCGACCAAACCGCCCAACCACACGGGCGTACGAAATCGACCGAAGCGCAGTGGGAAAGCGAGCGAAAGAGACCGCAAAGAAACCCCGAGGGCCGGGTTGATACCTATGCCCGTGAAAGTGCAAGGCAAGGCCAAACCCCTTTGGTTGGGTAGCTGTTCCAAGCCGGCTGCGGTTGGGTGTAGGGAGGGAAAGTGAGCCGTACGGCAGGCCAAGAAAGCAAACGGCAAGCGGCCTTAGGAGACCGCACAGGAAGCCAGCAACCGGGTTTAACGTCTGTACGGCTAAGTCATGAAGGCCTAATGCAGCCCTTGAGGTATGTAGAAAGGGCAGGTGCACTGGCGGGGCAGACCTGCACCGATTAAGTGCACCCAACGCCTACGCGCCCAGCCAACTCACGCGGTAACCGCAGGGAACGCGGTATGGGAGGCCCCCCCCCCGCGACCGAATACAACGGGGCTGTTTCTTAAAAGGGGGGATGGGTGAAGGGTAGCGATCTGCTAACACGACTGAAGCAGCTCACAATTAGAAGGATAATGGTAAGCGTGTTGAATCGCAATCCGCAAAGGTTAAGTCTTTCGCCTTTTACTAAAGATTTCCGTGTGGGGGGTGCAATGCAATGAGCCCATATATACAGTCTTGCAGCGCCTCATTCTCGGGGCGGTTAAAGTGAAGGAGAAATTCATCCTGACAGAGACTCTACGCCAAATCAAGCAAACGTAGCTGGAGTACCCAGTCGTAGTAATGTAGCAAGCGCGCTAAGTGGCCGATGAGGGGGAATGGGAACGCGAGCAATAACATGAAGGAATTTACAGCATAACCGCCCTTCCTTCGTCCAATTGGCAGCTGTAAGTATATGCGAGAGGTATGGCAATGGCAACACAGTAGCAGACAAGGTATACCGAAGCGAAGTCGAATACATTACGCCCGCGCGGCCGACACGCCTGAAATATGTAACTTAATAAAAGCACGCCTACTGATAGGAAGCAAGTACGTCAACAATGTTGACTCATAATTCCAGGCTACACGGAATTGTCTCGTCAAAGAAGACAGTCTACACTGATGTCGAAAAGATCTTGATGTACTGAAAACTAAAAATACTCGAGAAAGCGCCTGATATGACGCAAGAACTAGGCTTCAACAACAACCAAAAAATTAGCCACGAGCGCAGTTGCGTACGGGCGACATAGCGACATGCTGAGATGCATTGCACTGACCGGATGACAGGATTGCTGAATTACGATATCTCCGACGGCTGCTCACATCGCATGTCTGCCTGCGCAACTTCGTCAGCCCGTGAATGCGTAAATTCGATGACAGATAAAGCGCAACCAGCCCCGAATTTGGGCGGGCGTGCGCCTATCTGAAGAACGTCGCGGAATATGTCAGCCGACCTTTCACAGCCCCGAGACTATCATCAGGCATCAGGTCAAGAGACCAGCAAACCCACTGCCACGGCATCAAACGTTCGGAGTCACTTACTTGATCTGAAATAGTTGCGTTCAAAGCAACTACGTCGGAGAAACTGGAAGGTTACTCCAAACGTAAATGGTCGTGTATGCAACAGCAGGGGAGGAGGTGTAATGGCGCAGACTACCCGATCGCCATTCATTCGACAGTACCCGAACACACCATCAGGTTTGGTGAGGTCAAAATCCAAGCAAGAGACTGAAACCTCACAGTCCGCTAGTGACTTGAATCATGCTTCTTTTGCCCCTAGTCGATCAACAACTGCAATGACCCTCCGGTCCTATATTCGCGGTACAGTCGACGGCACCACACCATCAAATTTAAGGAGGCCAAAATTCTAGTCATCGTTCTCCGGCCGCCTCTTGATCAACAAGCACAATGACCATCTGACCTCCCATCTAATGCTGGAGCTTGGCCTAGACTGATTAGTTAGTCATACGGGAAGGTGTGGACGACAGCCATTTCCGGTCGCAACTCAACTTATTGCCGAATAACCATCCCGCTTAAAATTAACATCGATAATGAAATCACAATGCTACCCAAATCATATAGGGACTGACAGGACGTTTTCGCATTCAGCACGCAACGCCGCAATGAACGCGACTTCTCCAAAATATATCGACCATGCGATTGCAGGGCAAATGTGTCCTGTGGATACTGAGCTTCACGAGCCTCCAAAACCCGTTTACGCGACTATGTCTGAAGTTGCTTTTGATCAAGTATCCAACACGCCAGGCCGATAAACCTCTTGACCCGGCGATCGCATCTTTCTCATTTGAACATGGATTCTAGATGCACAGAGAGTGACCGATCTCATGAAATGTTGGCTGAAATTCTGAAATGCGTTTTCGATTAGGAAGAATTACTTGGTCGCTGTTGTAATGCTGATTATCTTAAGGCATACTTTTATGACACTTTGGACGCGACAGGATGTCGGCTTTTAAATGCACTTCTTTTCAATCTCCTATAGATAGCTTGCCCGGTAAAAAATGACTACTTAAGAAGCATGCATTTTCCCCATTGATTTTCGATAGTCTTGCAAATTCGAATATATTTTATAGAAACCATAAACAAAAATATGCTTTCTTTTAGTCAATCAATCGAGAATCACGTTTTCTTTATATTTTATACTTGAGGAAGGAGTATAATTGGGTTTTAAAAAATTTTACGGTAACAATTAGGAGATGGCACCCAAAAAATTCCGTTACCAATGAGAATATGCCGGAGGACTGCATGAGTGTTCGTCCACAGGCTGATGAAAGGAATAAAATAAGGGTATTTTACTGAGAGCCGGAAAACTTTAAAAGCATACAATCCTAGACAGACTGTGTCATTAGCTAAGCAATTTCACAAAATGGCAACTCTCGTCGGGGTCAAATACGGCGATGTTTTCAATCACGTCCTCTGTGTTTATTGAACGTGCTGTTTTGAAAGCGAGGATATAAAGGCATAGGGTCATGAACAGCACAACGTAGAACGTTTCCTTTAGCCAACTGCATTCCGCTTTCAATCCCCTATTTAAAAAGGCAATTAAGCAGGGAATACGAGCTGGATCGACTTAATATTATCTGCCTCTTCAAGTACATCCGACACCGCGCACATTTTTGTTACGATATAGTGATGTGGTTAAACTTTATCGTTCGAAAA